TTACAATGGAGTAGAAGAATGCTCGTTTCGATTCCTAGTTGATATATTAAATCAATATTATTGTAAACTTTTAATCTCGATAGAATAATTAGTTAAAGTTTCTACCTTGATTTGTGGTTTTTCCCATTGTTCGATATTCGATTCCTTAATTTCGAAGTAGACACGTTCAATTCGTTTTGATCCTCCCATGATTTCAATTCTTCCTAAGAATGGTTCGAAGTAATTTAAAACAGAACCAGCAGTCTCCAAAAATCGTGCCAATCTAGAATCCAAACAATTATTAGGTTTATAAATTCATAATTTATTTTTTATTAAAATATACATATTGATGCAATTACCTAGGTTCGTTTGGCATATGCTCTGATAAGTTAGTCAACAATACAGCTAAGTTAAAACCAATTTCTTTAGCTGGCTCGTGGAATCGATCGCAGAATCCAATGTAGTCAATTTTTCCGTCATGATTCTGTTCACAGCACATTAGCAAGAAATCAATTTCCTCTCTAAAAATTATAATATATTTTAATAAAACAGTTGATAGAATTTGAGGGAAATAGAACTTACGGCGTGTAACTCTTTTGTTGTTCCATTTTGTCTCTGAAATCTTTTGGCAACACCCAGCCATCGGCATTTGGATCAATTTCCATAAAACTGGGAGCACTTGTTAAATCTTTCAGTTTAAGGAACATATCGAAATATTTCAATATAAGTTCTACATTGGACGCGGATTCTACGAGAGTATCCACCATCTGTTTACCAATGGTACCTGAAAATAACGAATTAGAATTTACTTAGGTCATTTGATATTGAAAGTATATAAATTTTTATTATATTTTGATATAATTTTTTACCATTGACAACATTTCCTTCAAGCATAGACAACATCATGGTGATCATATCCTTTTGCAAGTTGAGCAGTTCTTTCAACAAATCTACTTGACTTGAATGTTTTGAGAGTTTATCTTGCATATGAGAGAATAAGAATAAGAAACCACCAACTGCATCCCAAAGACGTGAATGGGCCAATGCTTGCTGATTCTGAGTACAAGGACCTTGGATGACTTCAGTAAGGGTGTTGAAAACTTGACTTGCCACACCAATAGCCTTGAAAAAGTTGGCTTTGCCGGCTGGATCGATCAACTCCTATAATAAGTTTTGTTATTATTTCCCAGTTTTATTTATATTTAAATTTCACTTATTTGTAACTATCACAATTATACTTAACATATTGAATGTATATCAATAACAAATATTAAAAAACTTGCTTACTTTGCTTGAATAGTGCCAGTAGAAGTCCATTATAGATTCTTGAAGTCGTAGCAAGTAATCGACCGTGCAGATAACAACATTCACAGTAGTTGTATTTCCAGCTTGAGTTCTGAGATAATTTTGCCATTCTAAAAATCAATTTAATTAATAAATATAAGCTTGTCTAAATATTTTAGTTTCATCATCTTACCCAAATTGTGCCCTTCACAAGTAAGTTGGATAAATCTGAACAGAGCACATGTAAATTCAGCATCATGCATGTTCTTCTCACCAGCTGCTCCTTCTAAACCTACACCAAGACCTTCTGCCTTGGTATTTCTTTCAAAAGCATCTAAATCTAGTACACTGCAAGAGTTCATCAGACCAGCTATTGAAGTGAAGAACCCAACATCTTTCTTTTCTTTCAGATGATTTAACATACCCTAAAATTTAAAATAAAAGTATATAATAACATTAAATAAAAACCAAGTATTTATAAAAACTAGTAATGATTATAAAATAAATTTACCATTTGTATATCGATATTACCACCACGAAGTACAGCAATACCTAGTTCTAATGTTTTCATAACCATATCTGATGGTACACCTTTGGATGCAGAAATATGAAGCAATACCATTTCAGCAACACCTCTGTTAGCCAACCTTGCTTGATGGAAGAGGAGCTTCTGTTTTTCCATTTCTTGTTCCTTTAGATAAAAGATATTTAAATTATTGAATACTTGCTATTGTATTAGTGATAAAAATGAGAATTATTACTGACGTGGATTGATGCTCCTCCTTCACCTTCTTCTTCTTCTTCATCACCGCCTTCCTCTTCTTCTTCACCACAAGATTTGGCGACAATAAAGGCATAGCTCATGTACAAAGGATCTTCCTAAAATTAAAAATTGACGAATCTTGGTTAACGTTTTTACATAAGATAATGCAAAGTTGATACGTTTAACAATATCCTCATGTGATGCATTGTTCTAAAAAAAATAAAATAGAATTTGAATATGATTTTACCTGTAAAGCTCCAGATCGTTCAGTCATTGCACCACGACAGAATGTGGTTACTAATTGGGTTAGTGGATCTGGTTTTCCTTCCTCGTCTTCAACTTCTGCTTTCTTCTTTTCTGCGTCTTCGAAGGATTGCTAGATAAATGAGAACAATTAAATAAAAAACACGAAGTATTATTTCATTTATTTTACTGCATTTATTAGTTTATTGTTTAATTATATGTAAATATTATACTTTTCTATATTGCAAAGTAAAATCCTGTACTTACAGTCAAATCTTCGATCATCACTTCTTGGCCAACGTTTTCATCTTCTAACCATAATTCGTAGTAAGATCTCGCAAAAATGTTACAAGCACGATGCCTGCAAAACAAAAATTGTTTTACCATTAAAATAAAAAAATAATAGTAGTAATGGTAGATAATAACACTGGCCAACAAAGAAAATTGTGTAAACGATTTTAGTGCTGTTTTTAAGTATATTTGGAGCGCTGATTTAAAAAATGACATTGGTTTTTTATATGAGCTTAAGTTTTCAAGATATGATATATGTTTCTATTCTGTTTGCTTTAAATTTGGTACCTTGGAAGACTGTGCAAAGAAGTTTGCCTAAAGCAAGCAATGACGGCACGTTTCCTCTGAATTGATACGACGGAACGATAGACTCCTCTGCTTTGAGTTTGTGGATGATCGATCTATTTATAACAAAATTTTAATAAAATATTACATAAATTTTGTACATATTAAATATAATATATGTATGTATGTATACAAAATAATTTTTACCATGTGCAGCCCGTACAGTACTTTCGCCATAGCCACAATTCGATCAACTGTTTCTTCTATGGCCGATTTAACAGGCTCTCCACTTTTGTGAACTTCAGGCTTGTGCTGGATTTCTAAAGATTGTTTGTCCTTTTGTCCTAATTGGGAATACAAATAATGTTGCCAAGACATTTCGTCAGCTGGGTCCAATTTGTCAGGAAGAGTGAGCTGAGTTTTGGCAAAGTCAAAAACTTGGTCGTCGGGCATTTTCTAAATAAAGTTAAGATATAATATATCTCAAAAGCTATTTATATCTCACGAATCAGTAATGTTAAGTAAATAAAATACCAAAAAATAAAGAGTAAAATATAATCAGGTACTTACTTTCAAGAATCTGTCTTTGCAATGTTGTACCAATTCTTGTTCACGACCAGCAAACAAATTCAATCCAACAGGTAAAAGACGTTTAAGGCAAGCAACCATCAAGCTGGCTTGTACTTCTTTGTCTTTATCACGTTTTTTGTCACGGTTCTTTTTCTTTTTCTATTGAAAAAATAATATTTAATAAAATAAAAGTGAAAATAAAACAAATTTTATTTAACTTTTGAGGTAACTGTACCTTTCCACCACCTTGAGGTGCTCCATCAGTTATAGCAGCTGATCTTCTAGTGGCCGTGGGCATAATCAAAACCTAAAAGAATTTGAAACCACATTATTATAAATAAAAAATATTAATTGTAGTATTAAATATTACCATATTATCGATTTCGTTTGCACTGATAAAATTCTGCTCCTCCTTCAAGAAATATTGACTCTTTGACCATGTATTGAAGATTTCTGAAACGTAGTTATACAATTCTTCAGCTTCAGGCACATTATTTCTTAGCCAATGATTGCGCTGTAGATCTACATATTTGATGAGTAACGGGTAGAAGGAATAAATATCACGAACCAACAATTGCCAATCTTCTTGGATTTGAGCCTCGATTTGAGATGTATCATCACTGGAGGACTATATACAAACATTGCATGACTTATTAAAATAACACTACAATAACATATTTGTAAAGAACTATCAGAAATTATCTGACCTTAATGAAGCCCCTTAAACTTTCTTCTTTATGGAACATATTATCAGTACGTTTTTTGACACGTTCAGCCAATGGTAAAAATGGATCTTTTAACAATTCTTCTGAACTATTAATAATAATTTGTTGAGTGTATGTAGCAATTCTTGTCATCCATGGAGCTGATTCATTGCCGATGTTTTTCTTGATCAATTTCAAAACATTTTTCAGAAGTTGGTTCATATGATCGGCTGTGACCATCGTTACATGATTTCTAGAAGAATTATAAGAGCAAAATATTATTTTTATATTATTTTAATTACATGAACTGACATACCCTCCTGTAGGACTGACGTTGTCTGGTCCTTGGTTCCACCAAAATGGTAAATATGAGCAGAGCAAGGGCAGTATAACATCAATTACATGTTGGCCTTCCGAATATGTCTATAGAAATGTTACCAAAACAATTTAAAATATTACAAAAATATGTCCAGTCCTTAATATATTATTGATGACAATAACAAAAAAACTCAAAAGTAACTTTACAAATCTTTTAATGTTATTTTCTTTAATTACCTTGTTTGATTCCACAAAATTGATCAACTTCATTCAGAATTGTTTCTAACGTTGGCATGGATGTTTCCATTTTCGCCATGATATCTAAAAATAATTTGTATTGAAATTTATAAAACTAGAATACAAAACTTTAAAAAAAAAAATTAAGAATATTTAATAGAATGATAAACTAAGACCATTAAATCAAATTTTTGTTTACCTTGAGCTTCCAATGAATGATCAGCAATTCTATTCAGCAATGAATGTGGATTATGTTTATTAGCATGTGGTTCCAGAAATGCTACTGGGAAAGTGGAGGAAAATGCTCCCAAACAAGATCCAAGAGCTGGTTTATGACGTTCAAGTTCAGTTTTCAAGTACTTTCTGTCATGGGTCAATGTTAAATCGGTTCCCAAAGTATATAAGGATGCTAAGATTTTGTAACTTGCTACTTGGATTTCATCCACTATAAGAGAAATATTTTTTTATTAAAATTTAGTTACATGAAGATAAATTTAAAAATTTAAAATATTTCTATATCATCTTACATAAAAGATCAGTTCCATATTCACAAGCTGCAAGATGATCAAACATTGCAGTCAAAACTGGAAGAACAACTGAGTTCACATAAAACAATGATGTTGATGTTTTCAAGTGAGTACCACGAAGATGACTATATTTTCCCTAAAAATATTGACCAAGTCAATAAAAACTAGCTGTAAGTGGAATTCTGTCTTAAGGCAATTGAGGCATCGTGCCTTAAGGCAAATTGCTGGAACTTCCCGTACCGAAAATTATTATTTTTTTAAAAACGATTAACATTTTTGAAAAAAAAAATACTTTGAAAAAATAAGATTTTTGAGAAACTATAAATTGGACAAAAAATTACTTTTTTTTGAAAATTTTTTTTTTTTCAAAAATAAAATTTTTTTTTGATTTTTTTTTTTTGAAAAAAATTTTTTTAACTTCCCGTAGGGCAAGTTATAGTAATCGCAAAAAAATCAAAAATGAAAATTTTTATATATCTTTACGTTTTAGAGGTTTCTGAACATTTTGGCATACCTTAGAAAAAATGGATGTATGTGTGTGTGTGTGTGTGTGTGTGTGTGTGTGTATGTGTGTGTGTATGTATGTACGTGTGTGTATGTATGTGCGGATACAAATTTTCGTCGACGATTTCGGGAACACGGATCAACCGATTTGAATAATTCAAAAAACATTCGATTCGTATTGATAAGGAGACGTGCTGATTAGTTTTTGGCAAAGGCAGGTCTAGCCGTTCCGAAGATACGGGGCAAAAAGTGCCGAAAACGGTAACTCAGTTTTTAAGAGAACGGAGCGTCCGATTTGAATAATTCAAAAAACATTTCACTTGTATTGACAAGATGAAGAATCGATAAAACTTGCATGAAGATAGGTCTAGCGGTTTCGGAGATATAGAGGAAAAAGTAAAAAAATGAGCCATTTGGCGGTCAAAAATGATCATTAGACATATGCACATCAAATTATCAGATATTTTATAGAGATTTTAACAATAAGTATACAATTTGTTAACATTCCTATGGGTTCCGTACCAATGCTTATGCGTTGGACAGCGACGCGGCGCTTACGCGCTTTATATTTTGTTCCTATGCAGTTAAAGCAGTACGATTGCTTTGAAAAAAAAGTTCAGATCTTCCACAATATGTCAAAATAAAGAAAAAAAAAATTTTTTTTCAAAAAAAAAAATCAAAAAAAAAATTTTATTTTTGAAAAAAAAAAAATTTTCAAAAAAAAGTAATTTTTTGTCCAATTTATAGTTTCTCAAAAATCTTATTTTTTCAAAGTATTTTTTTTTTCAAAAATGTTAATCGTTTTTAAAAAAATAATAATTTTCGGTACGGGAAGTTCCAGCAATTTGCCTTAAGGCACGATGCCTCAATTGCCTTAAGACAGAATTCCACTTACAGCTAGTTTTTTCTTTATTTTGACATATTGTGGAAGATCTGAACTTTTTTTTCAAAGCAATCGTACTGCTTTAACTGCATAGGAACAAAATATAAAGCGCGTAAGCGCCGCGTCGCTGTCCAACGCATAAGCATTGGTACGGAACCCATAGGAATGTTAACAAATTGTATACTTATTGTTAAAATCTCTATAAAATATCTGATAATTTGATGTGCATATGTCTAATGATCATTTTTGACCGCCAAATGGCTCATTTTTTTACTTTTTCCTCTATATCTCCGAAACCGCTAGACCTATCTTCATGCAAGTTTTATCGATTCTTCATCTTGTCAATACAAGTGAAATGTTTTTTGAATTATTCAAATCGGACGCTCCGTTCTCTTAAAACTGAGTTACCGTTTTCGGCACTTTTTGCCCCGTATCTTCGGAACGGCTAGACCTGCCTTTGCCAAAAACTAATCAGCACGTCTCCTTATCAATACGAATCGAATGTTTTTTGAATTATTCAAATCGGTTGATCCGTGTTCCCGAAATCGTCGACGAAAATTTGTATCCGCACATACATACACACACGTACATACATACACACACACATACACACACACACACACACACACACACACACACACATACATCCATTTTTTCTAAGGTATGCCAAAATGTTCAGAAACCTCTAAAACGTAAAGATATATAAAAATTTTCATTTTTGATTTTTTTGCGATTACTATAACTTGCCCTACGGGAAGTTAATAATTATATATTGAAAATTATCTTATAGTATTTTTATTACATCTTGCAAGTTGCTAATCGTGTGGCTTAAATCATCAGCTGTGTTATTGAAGAATGTCAACATTGAAGTTCTGATAAATTCAGGACAGTTTTTCACCAATGACCTGAATAAAATATTATTGTTAAGTAAGATAGTTAAGTACTTTAATATTTGTTCTTAATAAATTGATGAATATATAATTACTTTGCATCAATTCCCTTTACTAGGACTTGAAGGCATCTGACGGTTATTCTTACATCGGCTCCAAAAGCTGATAAACGGGTTCTGCAATAATATTTCAAAAATTATTTATAATGATTATATTAGGTATTCACAATGTTATAGTGATGAAATGGCAAAATAAAGCAAATGAAAAATTTTTTAACCATCTAAATACAATTCATTTTTTTTAAATCTTATGGAAATACTTAGAAATCTTGTCAAAGAATCAGTTTTGCTATAGGTTTGCAGCTGCTAGTACAAGTTGTGCTTATTTTTAAATTATAATTGTTATACTTATTTTCTATTGCTAAATTTACCTTAATAAATTAGCCAATTTACAGAACAGAGCTGCAACCATTTCTTTTTCCTTCAAACTTGCTGCTCCAACATTATTTGTAGCAGTAGCCACAGCAATAAAATAGTTCCTGTGAGTACTGAAATATTTTTCCATTAAAGGCAAAACAACTTTAGAGAAAAATTTGATATCTCTTGTGCTCGTTTTGAACGAGGAACGTCTGCTGAATGTTGAAGACGGTTTTAGTAATTTCATGTTGATTGTGGCACGATCCAAATATTGGATAAGTTTTTCCAATAAAGAATATGCAAAACGGAGTTCAATCGAAGCAGCAGCTGTGGTCTGTTCAGTATCGCCTTCTTTTGCTCTAGATGCCCTAAATTATTAATGTTATAAGTAATTTCAAACCATACTTTTAGAACGAGTTATATAAAATTTACCTATGCAATTTGTATCCTTGATATTGTAGATATTTCAAAAATTCTTGGGATCTTTCTCTGTCTTTCCTCTTTTCCTTGTCAGTAAGTAAATCGTAAGGCACAAGTTGAGGATGAATGCCACCTATGAAAAAAGTATTTTTTATATTATTTATATTAATGTTTGTTTATAAATTGTTTAGGTATCTTATTAAGTACCTCCACAAGTAATTAGTTCTTCACGTTTCTTCTTAGCCCAGATATCATGTGAATTTTCTGCCAATCTGGTAAAGAAAGAATATGTTTTTATAATATTATTATTGCGTGATAAATTTTTGTAAATTATTTAAAAATTAAATAGAGATACTTATAATATATAATAATTCAATAACAAAAATAAATAACTGACAAAATAAATAAAAAAATCAGTAAAATTAAATCTGAATCTCTCTGATCGAAAAAATAATATTTTATTCAAAGATATATAAAAACAATTATTTAAACTTAATACTGTAAAAAATATTGAAAAAAAACTCTAAAAAATATAAACTTTACATTTCAAAAATTTATTATAAATAATAATCAATTAATAACATTAATTATAAATTAAGCGTACCTTTCAGCCATATTTTGCATTTCTCTTGATAAAGTGAGATTCGTCATATCAACTGGATGTGGATTGTAATTGAATGTATTTGTACTTTCCTGAAACATAATATTAAATATATTTATAATTAAATATAAATTAATTAATTTAAATACAATGTTTTAACAATTACAAATCGAACTAGTGGTGCACGGCAACGTGCCTTAGAGCAAATCGCTGGAACTTCGCGTAGCAAAAATTAATATTTTTTGAATCTCTGGCAAAATTAGGTTTTTCAGAATTTTGAAATTTTTGAAAAATATTGACTTTTATGAAAAATTTGTTTTTTTTTATATTTCGAAATTTCTGTTATATTTTAAATTTTTCTGAAAATTTTAAACATGGCTGTTTTTGAGGAGAAACATTGAAGCGCGTAAGCGTCGCAATGCGGTCTAAAAAGTTGGTACTGAATAAATAGAAATATAAATAAAATTTATACTTATTAATAACATTTCTATAACATATCTAAAACCGCTGGACCTACCTTTGCAAAAATTTGATTATTTTTATCCCGTATCTTCAAAACGCCTAGACATGCTCTTACCAAAAACTAATCAGCACGTCTCCTTATCAATACGAACCAAATGTTTTTTGAAATATTCAAATCAATTGAGGCGTGTTCCCGAAATCAACGACAAAAAATTGTTCCTGCATACACACACATACACAAACATGCATACATCCCTTTTTTCTAAGGTATGCCAAAATATTCAGAAACTTTTGAAATTTGAAGATATATACAAATTTTTATTTTCGAATTTTTTGCGATTACTATAACTTTCCCTATTAGAAGTTAATAAATGCATATGATATAACTTATGTATAACTAATTGAACATATGTATTTGTATATTAATGGTCCAATTTTGTTCTGAACATAATATTTTCAACTTTTTATTTAATTAACTTTTCGTATTAATTATTACCTTAATATCTTTATTATTATATCTATTTAAGAAAAAACTTACGCCTGCTTTTGATGATCTACGCATAGAACCACCTCTAGTATGAGGAATATCTACTTCTGAATGCTCTACAGTCCAGCCAATAGCAAGTAAAGCTTTCAAAGATTCACGTACAGGCTCCTTATATCTTTCCTTTTCCTAAAAAAATGTCACATTTTTAAGAATTAAAAAGAATTATAGTTTAATTTATAATTTAAAAAAAAATGGAAACATTATTGTGATTTTTAATTATGTTATTTATTACTTACATAGTCATTGAGCATATTATAAGGCTTTAATCGTGGATGATTTTTTTGTGAATCCGACCAACTATCACCATGAACCCAGCCACCTTCTAATTTTCGAGATGCCCAAGCATCATGGTAATGTTCAGAAAATTGCTGAACTATGCTGTTCAAGTCATTATTTAAAATAACAGAAGATGTATTGATGGGTTGAGGATTGTACTGTGGGTTGTCAACACCTGAAAAAAAAATCATTAAAAATAAATATAGGCAGAATATACTGTTAGTCTTCATAATATCTGATGTATTGTTGGCTTAATTTTAAATAAATAATTTAGAATATATTTAGGATATAAGATAATAGTGAAGTGGTCAATGAAGGTAATGTTTCAACTTATTTCTATCATCATTACCTGATGTGTCAGTTGGTTTTCCGTAAAATTCATCGTCATAATTTTTAGATAATGAGTAATCAGGTGGCAAAGCACAACCGATGGCTGTAAGACAAGGCAAAGCTTTTCCGAAAAGTTCAGGTTCGTAGTCCATTTTACTCAAAGAATCGAAAATATTTGAGAACAACATCATAGTAAGACGTTTTTCTTCATCCGAAGACGATCCATAGGCACCTTGACCACTTGTAGATCCGTAATACTTTGCACAACGATCGTAGTGCAAAGTCAATAACTGGAAGTGGAAATTAAATATTATTCTTAGTTTGTATTCCTAAATATAATATAAAAAATTGTGCAAACAGAGTCCCATCATATTTACATAAAGATATTTATTTAGTTATTTTTATTTTCCGCAAGGAAGTTGTTATCAGTATTAACAAATATTATTGTAAGCCCTTGTCAAATATCATATTTCATAATTTGTATAAATTTAGCAGAAATATTGTATACATTTATATTTAACATTAATTAATAATTAGTCAATTATCAATATATTACGAATTATTTATTTCTTTATTTATTCTCAAGAATATTTACTTCTAGATAGATATATTTATGTAAAATCACATATGTATATTAGGATGGTCCTTAATATGGATATTTTCGATTTTTTTTTGCTTCCAGGAACTCAAATTCTTCTAAATTGAAACTAGTGGGGCGCATGGCATCGTGCCTTAAGGCAAATTGCTGGAACTTCCGTACCAATGGTTATTATTTTTTGAAAATCGAAGCACGTAAGCGCCGCGGATTTTGAATATCGAAGCACGTAAGCGCCGCGTCGCCGTCTAACAGATAAACATTGGTACGGAACCCATAGGAATGTAAACAAAATTTATACTTATTGTTAAAATCTCCATAAAATATCTGATAATTTGATATGCATATGTCTAATGATCATTTTTGCGAATTTGATCATTTAAAATGGCATTTTTTTTACTTTTTTCATTAGATCACCGAAACCACTAGACCTGCTTTCATGAAAATTTGACCAATTCTTCATCTTGTCAATACAAGTAAAATGTTTTTTCAATTATTAAAGTCGGATGCTCCGTTCTATTAAAAACGGAGTTACCATTTTTGGCACGTCTTCTTATCAATACGAATCGAATGTTTTTTGAATTATTCTAATCGGTTGATCGGTGTTCCCGAAATCGTCGACGAAAATTTGTATCCGCACACACACACACACACACATACATCCATTTTTTCTGAGGTATGCCAAAATATTCAGAAACCTTTGAAACGTAAAGATATATAAAAATTTTCATTTTCGATTTTTTTGCGATTACTATAACTTGCCCTACGAGAAATTAAAAAAAAATTACTGAAAGTTTTAGCTCTTTATATTAACTTTAAGATAGTCGTCACTCCAACCAAAGTTTTTTATGGAAATAACATGTTTTTTTTTGTCAATTTGGAAGAATTTAAGCCCCTGAGAACAAAATCTTCGAAAGCATCCATATTAAGGACCACCCTAATATACGTATGCATATCTGATCTTACGTATATATATCTAGTAGAATATTTTCTATATATCTAAAATTTTTAATATTTACCCTCAGGGCTACAGTTGTATATTCAGAAAGTTTTGAAACATCAACAGTAAGTTTTCTTAAAAGTTTCAGTAACATTGCAGGTTGTAGTTGAGAAGTCAAAGCAACCAAAAAGTCAGAAACTGCTTCACGTTGGCCTTTTGTCAACATACGATTTTTAGACAATCTGTAGAAATAATACAATAAAAATTTATTTGATAGAATCTTCTACACAATAATTAAAACAATATGAAAATTTGGTTATATGAACAATCAGAAACAATTCCAAATGCAGAAATAAAAAACCTCACAACCAAGGTTTACTTGAAACAATATAGTATAACAGTTTAAGGAAAATAAATTTGAATATATATATATATATATATATATATATATATATATATATACATGTAGTAATAAGTTATTTACCTATAAACGGTGTGTAAAGTTGCATCTAGTAAACTGGCGTAATTTTCTGCTTCACCATAAAACTTGGAATGCTGAATCAGTAATGGTAAAATAGAGTTGCCAATATATCTATTCATAGACAAAGCCATGTCACTTTCTGAACCATCATTCTGTAAATATTCAAAAACAAAATAAAAATATATAAAACTATTGGTTCTGGTGAAAGCTGGAAATTTATAGTATAATATACCATGCTATATTAAATAACTAAATATAAAATGCAATTTTACGATTGTTGTATAATTAGAAAGAAGTATTATTATTGAATATAATATCGGTAATTTATTTACCCTGTCTAACATGGTAGCTGCCCTCAGGTCAGGAAGAAAAGCTTCTTCTAATAATCTGAAGAACAACTCTTGGGTTTCTATACCGTATACTCTTTCCAAGAAGAGTACAACACTTTGTTTATGACCAGGAATCAGACCACTTGGCATGTCTAAAATAAATATAAATATAATAAAAATGATCTATATATTTTGTTTTATTTTTGATTTAATACAAATTTTTAATTTGTGGGCAAAAAGTAATAACCACTTTTTTAAAAATGTTAAGAAAATTGTGATAATTATTTTGAATTTTTTTAATGAAAGAGAAATAAATGCTCATATTTTTTATTTTGTGGTGGTAAATACAAGTTTATTGCATACCTGATTTGGGTTTCTCTTCTCCAGCAGCTGGATTTTGAAGAGTAAACTTCAAACTTAATACTCCCTGCAAATCTTCTAAAGGTACCAGAGATCTCAAGATAGCACGCGCTCTAAGGGATTCATTTTTGCCCTATGCAAAAATAATTTAAATTAAGCATTTAGTTCAATATTGAATTTGATAACTAAATGTCAAAATTCAAAATCCGTTCTATAAAATATATATGAATTGGTACAAGAAATATATTTTGATAATACCTGATCGATAACAGCCGTGTCTGGTGCACAACGTCCAAGTAAATCAACAAGAGTACAGTAGAAGTTTAATATAGCAGCACCAGTATCGATATAATCTTCATCTTCATCACTTTCTGGTAATGGATGTGAAAAACTAAGACCTGTGATTGTGCCTTCAGCTTCGTCCATCATTTTTCTACGATCAGCTATACGCTCAGACATCTAAAAATAAACATAATTTTTTGCACATTTTTATAAAATAAGTATTAATACTATTTATATTATTAATGCTCACTATATTATTCTCATTTTATTACCTTATTTGCATCCATGATGGCACGTAAAAGACCTTCACCTTCTCCTCTCAAAGCTGGGCCTAAACATTCTGGTCTACGAATCAGCAATCTGATGACCAAATTGGCGTTTTCTTCTACACTTTCTCCATTAACCTGTAATAATATCAGGATTTTTTAAGATAATATTTGAGTAAAAACAATCAACAATTAATTAATTATTATAGTTTTAATTATTATGACTACGTTTTCTTTACCTACTCCACGCCAAATAAATAACAAACTATTATTTTTGATAAAGTGTAATAAATTGCAATAGTTTATTATTATTATTAATTATTTATATATTTTTAACTTGTAATTTTGTTCTCACATAATTTTATTTTAGCTTACCCAAACACAGAATCTTAAGAAATCCAAATAACGTTCTCCCTCAACTGGATCCCAACCCAGATCTGGATAACCTTTTTCGATCAACTCTGAGTTACTTTGGAGACCGCATCGGGACAAATATATTGCAATTTTCTCGAGATAATGCTCTCTATGAAATAACAAAAATATGAAAATATAATATGTATATATTAAATATAATGCGTCTCAATTACTACCTCAAAGCCAATGCCAGTTCAGTGTTCTCCATCAAACTTGAATAGGCAACATCCAATGGTGTGCTGCCGCGAAGACTTGGTCTTGATAACAAAATATTTGAATTTTCTAATAAGAAATCGAAATGGTCGAACATAGCCTTTTGATTTTGTCTACCAGTTCTGCAGAAGTAGCACAAGAAGCGACAACAAGCTACAACCATTTCGTGAGACGTATCTTTTTCTTTGACCGCGACCTGAAAAAAAGATAATTAATATTATTGGCTAAACGTAAAAAATACATTTTAATATATTGAATTATTTAGAAAAAAAAGATGGTAACCTCTCCTCCTTCAGCACCTTGTGCAGGTGCATCACTTTGTGCTTGGGCTCTGCGGCCTAAAGTGTTCATCATCACAGCCATGACGTTTTCATGGACACGAAGGACTCTGATTAAATCAGGATGTTGGAAGAAAGTGTGATTGTTTACAAGTTTCCTAAAAATATTTTAAAAAAATAAAACTGTCAATTATGGCAATGCCAGGTGCTATTGAGCTTCAATTCATAAGATATTAAATTTGAAAGTTGAAATTAGTTCTAAGATTACCAGAGTCTGGTCCTCATAAGTTCTTCTTCCTCCTGACTCATTTGCACTGGCAGAAGAGCACGAATTTGACTCAAACCGACCCACATTTCTGCAACATCTTGTCGTGTTTTGGCATTTATCACATAAGTTTTAGCAAGAGCACGTATTAATTCACCAACTGAATCGTACTGTCTTACTAACAAACTATAATAAAAATTCAGAATTCATTACAATTTAAAAAAGATATTTATAATTATTACCACATCAATGACTTCAATAGTGTCATAACGAAAAATCTTCTCATTTTACCTGAACATTTCTCGTACAAGTTTTGGAGTTTCAATTTGAGATTCCTCAGCCCAAGATACAATTGTTGATATAAGAACCTTCCTAAATATTTCTTCAGGAGATTTTTTCTCTGGTTCTTCCTCCTGTTGTTGATCTTCCAATTCTAGATCTTTGACTGTATTGATAAAATTAAATAGCTTCTTGATTTTACCAGTCCTGGATTCATCCACAGCAGGCTAAAAATGATAGCCAAATTAATAAAAAATACTACTGGCAATTTAGATTTGTATTTACCTCCTCTGGTTCAGGTTCTTGTAATGCTGACAAAGACACGTGTGTCATGAGTTGCTCATGGAAAGTATTCATTCTTTCTCTTAGGTCATCACCACAAGGGCAGTTTTCCTTATCCTCTTCTTCCAGGTTTTTAAAACCTTAATAAAAACGTGAAAAATGTTGAGATATTTTGGTGGTATAAAAAAGTATATGTTCAAATTAATTGCTTGTTGTTAAAATAAATTTAATATATGTTTATACAATAAACTTACTAAGAATAACATTCATTTGTTCTCGTGGAGGACATCTGAACTCTCTCGTTTTCTTAGCAGCTACCGCACTGGGCAAGTCACTGGCTTTGATATCAATATATCTGATAATGATAATAATTTTTTAAAATAATAAATTATTATGACACATTAATAATGTATAAAATATAAATACAAGCGACCAACATTGTTCAGTATATAAATAAAAAACAAAACCATTTAAACATACAATTATGTGTGTTATTAGATATGTATAATGATATTTTATTAATTTAATTTTAGATTTACCGTCGAAGTTGATCAGCTTGCAAATCGGCAACAAAATCGTGGCCGAAAGCAATTATGGCTTCTACACGATGTCTCAGTTGAATATCATTCAAGTGGTGGAGAAGGTAGCACATTTGAAGTTTGGCTCCTTCAGCCATCTTCATATGTAGAAGACCTTTTCGGTGTTCATCCTTTCCATCTAGTAACAAAATCATCAAATCAAATAATTATAAAATATTTAGAAAATATAACAATATGTATATATGAAAATAATAATCAATTACCCTTTTCAAAGTTTGGATCCCATGTTTCAGGATTAATCATTATCAACAATTTCTCAATATCTTCATCTGTGAGCATACCGACGAGAAGTAACCTATCGGTAAGTTTCAAGAGAGGTCTGAAAGATAACTTATTATTAGTAATCGAAGTAATAAAATATATTAATAAAATATGATTATAATTTGTACAGAAAGAGGTTTTCATTGCTGCCTCCAATTGGATCTCTGTTGTGGACTTGATTAATTTCTACGGCTTCTGCAAGAGCAGTCATCACAAATTCACGAACCACACTCAATGGAAAATAGGGCGAATACAGATTCATAATTGGTGGTATATTGTCTCTAAAATAAAGAAAAAAACTAAATTAAAATAAAACTAGTGGTGCATGGCATTGTGTCTTAAGAAAAATTGCTGAAACTTCCCGTACCAGAATTAAATACTCGAGCAAAAAAATAATGATAAATAAAAATTTGTCAATGATTAATAACAATTGTTTTAAATATTTTCAAAGAGATAATTATGATTAAATTATGAACTATATATTTATTCGTTCATGGAATATACAGTGACAATCTTATCGCTCTAAACTTCTAAAAATGTTTAGATTAAGCAGACAATCCATCTGAGGATATATTTCTTACGATTACAATAACGCATATAAAACATATTAATTTTTCGGCGAAATTGTTAATTTAAAATCCATATTGAAAGTATAAAACTTTGTATATTTTTGAAAATTATGAAATTTTTTTTTCTAAAAAACAAGTAAAATGTTTTGTGAATCATTCAAATCGGGGGCCGTTACCTTATAAACTAAAATACCATTTTGGGCCTGTCTTTGCCAAATTCTAATTAGCACATCTCCCTATCAGTAGGAGTCGAATGTTTATTAAATCATTTAAATCGCTTGATTCATGCGCCCGAAATCTTGGATGAAAAATTGTTTCCAAACATGCACACACATACATAAATCATTTTTTTAAGGTATGCCAAAACGTTCATAAACAATTAAAACGTAAAGATATGCAAACATTTCCATTATCGATTTTTTGGAGATTACTATAACTTACCCTACGGGAAGTTAAAAATACTTTAAAAATAAATATTATGTTAGGGTTAGGCGGCTATGTGCAATTGTCAGAATATAATATAATTGTTTCAACTTGATCAAATGTTATACAAAATAATAATTTATTAGAAATAACATGTTTATCTTGAAAACGTTAGACAGAGGGACCAATTCTGCCGCTAAACATACAAATGTTATGGCAAGGCTATGTTATAAAGAACTTTCCATACAAATTCGTTCTAAATATCGATAAAAATCATGGATTTGCTGTGCAGTCAGGCGAATTTCTCAGGTTGTCGGATAAAAAACATAACTTAGAAATGGCACAAATGTCAAAAAACGATGTTAGGTAACAGGGCGTTTCTGACTCGTCTTTATAACATACGAGTTACGTTACAGTTTAAAACGCCTGGATTCATACTAAATACATAATATTTTGACAGTATTCAGTATGATTCAGTACCATAATGTATGAAGGTTGTACTGTAACATGGCCTTGCTATAATATTTATCTGTTATGCGGCAGAATTGGTCCCTAAATTATCTACTTACGAAATATCAGTCATTTTCATTTGTGGTCTCACAGATTCGGTCTTCAGCGATCTTAAACTATGTTTCATATCAGTGTCCTCATAAAGCTCCCTTAGTTCAGGACCCAAAGGAATAATATATTCATTTTTGCACACCTCCCTAAAATATTCAAAATAATGTTAACCCTTTGTCACTTCATATTTTGTTCATAAATAATATTTTAAATTATTATTACATTGTTGTGGCATGTGACTCTAAATGTAAGGCTATCAATAAGTCGTAGAATCCTTGACGAAGTGGTCCACTCATATATTCTGATTTTATGGCATACAAAAGTTGTTTTTGGTCTACGTGAATGCAGAGAGCATGTGCAGCACTATAAATAATATATGTAACAGAAAAAAATCACTACAATTTGAAAAATTTGAAAAAAATGTATTTTCATGAAATATCAAATACTTTTATAATTACCGATAATTTGATTGATAACATAACGCCGCATATAAAGTTAAAGTGTGTGCATGGAACCCAAGCATTCTTTCATTTTCAATCAATTCTAAAATATCGATACATCGATCTTCTTCAGGAATATGCAAAGCCAACATTGATACAGGATCTTCACATAACATAGACCAGCCTCTGATATCTGACAATTTCAATGCATGGACATGCAATGAAACATTTGGTACCTGGTTGAACAAAAATATCAAAAAGTGTTAAATCAAACCTATTTTTTTTTAATAATTCCATTATATTTACCCTGGCCCATTGATGCGGCTTCAAACACTGAACCTTCAACCTAGGAGGAAATTGTGGAATAGCATGCTTGTCACCAGTTGGCAACACGGCTGCCGAAAGTGGCAACGTGGTTGCAGTTCTGCCCAATTCAATTTGCAGCATATCTTTGGAAGTGGCTTCAACAAAAATAGCTGGGAACAGTTTAGTTTCTGGTTCCATATGCCATTTGTGTGAAGTTTCTTTTCCTTCACATGTAAAGGTGATGCAGCCAGTAGCCGTATCAACGAAACAACCAACAAACATACCCTAAATAATTAAATCATTCAAACGAAAAGTCTGATTTGACAAAAATAAAAAAAATTTACAACTTACCTGTGAAGCTCCTTTTCCTGAAGCATCTTGAGTGACTTCATTGTAAAGTTCATCTGCACGAACCATGTAACAACTTTGTCTTTCAATACTAAAATTAATCAAGTATAATTATATTATAAACTTTAATTTTTATTGTTTTGTCGCTGTATTATCGTATTTATTATTTCTACTTACTTTTCTATAATTCTTTCATATTCATCTTCAATAATTACTGAGCCTCGCCTTACTTTGCTCTGATTGAATTCTTTGCTATGTAGATGGTATTGAGTTGTTACCCAACCAACATATACATGAGTAGGATCTGTAAAGAATTTATAGAATAATCAGACTAGTCTATTTTATCATTAATAAACTGGATTTGTAAGTCATCGACGAATAATATTATTCTATGACTTGTTCTTCAAGTGTATTTTATTGCAAAGAAAAATTCAATGTTTAACTTGTAGCTCATGAATTTTAATTTTGAAGTTTTTACCTTGACCAGGATAAATTCTGACACCATAAAAATATTCATTAATCAATTTTAAGCATTCTGCATCATAAACTTCATTGCCAATGGATTCAACTCCAGTACTTGCAACTCCTAAAGACATAGCTTTGGGACCACCAGTTGCTGGAGGCTGACCTCTAAGATCTCCCTAAAAAAAGATTAATAAAACAAACTATTATACAGCTTATAGTTACTCATAATAAGCACATTATTAAATTTATTTCTAAGTTTATATTGAAATGGTAATGAATATTATGTTTCTAACCTGTGATATTCGAACTGTTGGCATTCTGGCAAGCAAGTTGCTCTGCGCACCTATGGAAAATTAATTAATTTATTTTTTTTATTTGAATTCAAATTTAAATTTAAACTAGTTGGTTTGGTATTTAGCCTTAAGGCAAGCTACATGAACTTCCCGACATGTGTGAAAAATCAACTTAATCAATAAAAAATAAATTAATTTATGAGTGATTAAAAGTATTCCGAGTGAATTTATAACACATAATTGAACACGAACGAACACTTTTGACTCGGAGTATTTCGAAAAAGCAAATTTTCGAAAATCAACAATTATTATAATTGAACCAGTTTCCATAGGACTTTAATGGCTCAGTATGTTCATTAAAACCAAAAACTCTATCGCTATACCAAGTAAGTCGTCTATATTTAATTTTAACAAAGGTCAAAAAAACTACTCATTTCCTTAAAATTTGGTGAAATTTTAAAATTAAACTACTTGTCGTAAGGGCGTAATATTTCAATAAGTTGTGTAAGACATTGATATATATCGCCAAAAAAAGTTCCATAAATATCGGCTTCAATTTTTGCTTCAACAGTTAATTACAGGAAAACGGCTCGGTAAATTTTCACCTAAAACTAATCAGTATTATTCCTAACTAATATCTTTCGAACAGTTTTTGATTTTTTAAAATCGATTCGGTAGAATGAGCTTAAATATGGACGAAAAGTTTAACACTTTCTTTTCAAATTACAAAGAAACGGCTCGGCTGATCATTGCACAAACGATAATCCTCATCGAGATACATCAAATGGTTTTTGAATTTTTGAAATCGGTTCAGGCGTTTTTGAGCAAACGTCGATGAAAGTTCTAATTTTGACAAATGCCAAAAAGACCATACCAATTTTTGCAAACTTTGACGAATTTTTAAAGCTAAACGAGTTGTCGTAGGGCCGTAATATTTTAGTATGATCTAGAAGACTATGGTATCTACCGCCAATAAAATAATCATAAAAATCGCCGAAATTTTTTTTAAAAACTTTATTACAAGAAAACGGCTTAGCCGATCTCTACCAAAAACTAATCACCACGATTCCCAACCAATATCGTTCGAACGGTTTTTGAATTTTCAAAATCGATTCAGAAATGCGGGCTAAAACGTAGACGAAAATTTTTTCACTTTTCTGCGATTTGTAAAGAAACGGCTTCGCCGATCGTCGCGCAAAACTGACAAATTACAGTCCTCATCGAGATACATCGAAAATATTGCAAAAATCATCAGTTTCCATGTATTGAACTATAGATCTGTATTGTTTTGGATTATGAACATTAGGATTAGAATATCGACTACTGATTTTTAGTAAAAACTAAAAATATCTAAAAATCAGTATCAAAATTATATTTAATATTTAATTAATAATACCAATTGGCTTTCTATCAGCCATTGCGACAGGTTCAGGTGTCCTTGCCTTGGATTTTGATCTTTCGCCACTTTGATCTCTGTTTTTACGAGAGAAAAATCTGAAACCAAAATAATATATTTAATTCAATATTGCTAAATGATAATTATATATATATTAGAAAATTGTAATTTGTTTGATCAACTAATTACTAGTTATTTTAGTTTTATATATTTACCTAAATGGAGAGCGTCCCCTTTTCTTTTTATCATCTGCATTCATTTCAAGTTCACTAGTTGATCGTTTCATTTTGCCATTAACGTTTAGACCTGAAAATTTGATTATTGTCATCATATTTAATTAATAAAATCAATATTATAAAAATGACGTAGAAGCAACTTAAGACATTATATTAGTTACCTCCTTGAGGATCATATGCAGGTCCTGGTCTAGAAAGTGAACCTTTTCTTGGAGGCCGAGCTGGACTTGTTCTCATCATCTCATCAGACTCGACGCCTTCCTCTTCATAGTTACGAGAAATACCTATAATTTAAAAAATATTTATATTTTATTCTTTTAAGCAGTTTGTTATTTGCATATTTAAGATAAAAAATATAAAATATTTACCTTTGATGTCATTCATGGTAAAACCACTCTTCATGATCTGTTCCAGATGAGCAGGCGTGGTATTGCTATCGACTTCTGCCATTAATCTATGTTGTCTGATACGGATTTCTTGCCATCTCCTAATTTTCTCACTCTCACTAAATCGTAAATAATTAAAAACTATAATTTACTATTGTATAAATATTCAATTTTAATTCTTACGGTATGAATGCGGATTGGCAAGTTACAGGCAAAGATAGCCTCAAAAACTCCCAATTAGCTTTCTCCATAGTTTCAAAAGTGTTGTGTGAAATCTTCAAACAAGGTGGTGTGTCTGATCCAGCTGGTATACGAGTTACATCGATTTTGGTGTCAGATATATCATCAGTATTTTCGAATATGGGTTGGTCCTTCGTGTACCAATATGTGACTGCACGTTTCATATTCCTAAGAATAATAATAGACATAGTCGACATTTTTTTTATTCTTATTATTCTTTATTTATTTATTCATTTTTTTTTTTATTTATTTATTTTTTTTTTTTAATTTTTTTTCTTGAGTATATCATCTTATTTTTATCTACTTACACACAGAACGGTTCATAACCTTCCTGCAGCCCACAAGTAGTAAAGAATTTAAGTTGGTCCACATCTTGGCCATAACATAATCTGGCTTTTTGGCCAACACTTAAAGTACAAGCTGGCACAAAACCTTCTCCTTGGACATCTGCAAATGAGGTCTCACCACCCAAAGCATCCATTAATAATTCTCCATTTAAAGAAAAACCTGACAGAATATGAATATTAGTCTAAAATTTGTATAAAATTTATTTAAGTAACGTTAAATCACAAACAATAAATTTATGATAGTATTACATTTTTAATTAGCAGACATTATCAAATTATTTCTATCTACAACAAACCAATTTTTTATACTAAAAATATCATTAGAATATTAATCTACAAATTTGCAAGCATAGATAAACAAGTATAAAATTGTTTGGTAACAAAACAGTTCTAATGTAATAGTTTATTATAAAATATTATTTTAATTTGGTCTGGTAGCAGAATAATATTTCTGTTCTAGATGTTCATATTATAATCCAGAAACAAAACAAATCATTGTTAGTTTCAAGGTATTTAAAAAACATTCAATGTTATTGGGTGCTAAAAACACATTCAATGTTGCCATTATTAAACAACTATTTACAAACAAACATATGTATTATTCTAACTAACTTATCTCATAAAATAATTTAATTGTTTGGTTTTAGAAAAAGCTGCAGCAAAAGCGAAAAGAACGTGGACTAAGAGGTTATTTGTTTAGAAATATCAAGGCAATATTAATAATAGGTTCTCGAAATTTTGTAAAAACTGACTGCTAGATTTTTTGTAAAGGTTTTGCAATAGTATATTGAAAAGGTATGGTGATTATTCGTCAATAATTAGAATTAATTTTGAGTTTTATTCTTAGTAGTTATAAAATTATTTAAGTTGGAGTATTTATCTCAAAAATTTTATTAATAAAACTAGGGTTTGCATGATAAAGTAATAATTATAAAAAGAATCTAATCAAACAAATTAATCCAGAGTGTTCCCAAATTACTTTGGCGTCTCATTTTAATTTGTGATCTAGTATATTATGGGCAGCAAGTTATTAGAAAGGCAAAATATATGTCTAAATAAACATTTATTTTACTTATAGTATGATCGATTAAATCCAAGAATACACCGACTACATCACCCACAGCCCACTGCTTTCCAAAAGATTCGGCATTGCCAGAAAATACTTTTTCCTCCTAAGAAAGGTTTGGAATTGATATGGGTGGTCAAAAAGTCATGTAAAACTGACATACATTCAGGACTAAATCGCAATAAAAAATACTTACTCTAGTATAAAAAAAATTAATAATTATTATATATTCACATAAATTTTTAAATTACAAAATGGTATATTTTTGAATTTATGTCAGCCCTTCATAAGTTTTAGAGAAACAATTTTTTGGAAATATATTTGGACAATGCTGCAGCTGGAAAATTGTGTAAAATCTGAACTATATGAAATGATCTCAAGCAATATGATTGGACTGCCTTCTCTATAATAAATTGTATGTGGGACCAATTTAATAAAAAATCTTCAAAATATTCAAAACTATTTATGTACCTTTAACTTTAAAAAGACATGCAACAAAATTATATAAAATCTTTAAATATTTTTATCATCTTTTCTAACTCAAGAGCCCAGTTATATGGAATTCGTTTTTACTTATATTCAAAAACATTCAAAACTACTTATATAAAAAAACTACTACTTTTATTACCGCCATTATTATATTCTACAAAAAGATATTTTATATTCTTCACGTTTATACCACAAATACTAAAAATTCGAATTATTGGAGACGATGAATTTTTTCTAATGTACAACATGCTTGGAAAATTGTACACAATGATCACAGTGAATTTTGTCAATGTACAGAAGGAAGCATACGGAAATTCTAAAACTGGGTCACATTATCAAAATTATTTAATTTCGTGCAAACATTAAATCGAAAATATATCATACTAATAATCGAATCGTTTAAGTCCAGAAAACATCCCACAATATCTCCAACAAGATACTTATGTCCGAAAGATTCGCTAATACCAGCGTGCTCCTTCGTAATCTAATTCGATAACTTATTATTATTTTAATAGTTACATTTTAAAAATATTTTTGTTTAAATTTAAAACATATAAAATATTATAAATAATTTTTGTTGAATATATTTATATATCCTAATAATAATTTTTAAACCATATAATTTTATAATAAATTTACTTACATTATAACCATCGAATGCCCAGGTATATTCATCCTGACCAAGCATTTGTCCTGGTGGACAATCCGATCTTGCCCAGCCCACCTATTGCGATTTAAAAAATATATAATTAATTAAACAAGTAAAGTATGAAATTAATAAAATAAATAAATTATTTCAGTACTTACTCTCATTGGACCAGCAGTTAGAATTTCAAACTCAAAATACCATTTTCCGCTAGTGACTGCATAAGTTTTTTCAACACGGTAAGTTCTAAATCCTGAATGGCGCAAACGATGTGCTTCTGCTAATAAAGCTAAATAAAATAATGAAAAATATTAATATATTATGTATAAATATAAATAAAATATGTATCTATTTAGAAGATAACAAAAAAAATATATATTGAGTCAACAACCTTTTTTTCCAGCCCACATTTTTTTCCCACTTGCAACTAGTTTTTGATAAATTTGGTACTATAATAATAATATATTTACATACCTTCATTGGCTTCTCCTTGAGGTGGCTCTAAATTATAACCATACACCAATAATGTCCTTACAGTTTCCGAAGCAGTATCTCTATTAGCCTTTTTGATGGCTTCATCAACTTTTGCGTAAGGCACCAAATGAGGACTTCTTAAATTGTCTGAATCCTAAAATTCATTAATAGATACTTAATAATGAATTTATTTTTGATTTGCATGCATTCCGTAAATGAAATGCAATAATATAATAAAATGTGTCATTAAGTAAATAAACAAGAATATTTATTGTTGCTTATAAATGCATTTGATATTCTAGCCAAATTTTATGTGTTGATTGTAATTAATTTGCAACGTGTGTTTGTAATTGTAGACAATGACTAAAGCCAAAAATAATAGACACTGAAATACCTCATTTAAGCCATAAGTCCATCCTTGTTGTATTCTTTCCTTAGCCCACAAGTTATGAGTGTTTTCTGCAAGCTGGTCTACTAATTCATCCATTTTTGGTGTCAGTGTAACAGCACTCAAATCTAATGGTGCTGGCTTATATCTATAGTAATAATAAATAAATTATTAAGACAAAATATGTTTTAACTCTTTGGGGACGGCTGTCCACCTGAGTGGACAAACATACTCTGTGAGGCACAGGCTATTTTATAAACAATGACTCAGTTTGCATCGAAAAGTTGAATAAGTTACATATAGCAGTGATAAACAGTGTTGTATTTTGAAAATAATTTTAAATTATTTTAATAGTATTTTTAACCTTTTTCTTTGCTATATAGTCTTTTTTTAAATATTAAAAACGACCGAGCGCTTTTAAATATGGCAAAACGACTGGTAAATTTAATAAGCAGTAGAGAAGATGAGAAATTACTATTCGCACCGAAGATAGTGATGAATGTGATGATGATATTATCCAACCAACAAAAAGAAGAAGAAGCTCGACAAATTAAATACAGAGTGGAAAGCCATTAGCGAATGTGCCGATTCTCCTTCAATAATCGAGTTTGACATACATCAACACCACGACTACAAATACCAAGCAATATAAGACATCCAACAGATTATTTTACTTTATATTTTACAAATGAATTATTAGACAATATAGTAGAAAAGGCAAACCATTATGACAGCAAAAAAATGAATAAATATACTGACTTATCAGTGGCATCTTCTAAATGCGAGAGAAAGAAAAAGGGATTTTATTGTTCTGACAGAAAAGCACCAGAAGGAAGGCGAACAACATTTTATTGTAAAACATGTCAAAATCAACCAGCTATATATTTGGAAATTGTTTTGAACGTCACCATTCTTTATTTATTTATTTATTTATTTATTTATTTAAATATATAGCCCACAGATTTCTCCAAGAGGACTCAAAAATACAATTATTTGACATAATGAATAACAATTAAAATATACACAAAATTACAATATATAGTTAGTAACATAAAATGCTAAGATAAAATTTCATATAATGCAGAATGTAACAATAATATTTATAAACAGAAAATAATAAGATATTTGAAAGAAAATAAAAAGATTAACTTGTGCAGATGGAGATTATTTGATTAGGTGATGTGTTGTGAATGTCTATTTCATTATTAATTAAGTTAAAGTTAGAGGACATTAGTAAAATTGGCGAATTTAAGAGAGAATTAGATTTAGGGGTGGGATAATTGAAAAATAATTGTGAACGCGAAGATAGCCTTGGAACATTAAAGGATAGTTGATTGAGAATAAGAGGACAGTCTATAGAATTATTGCAAAGCTTAAATAAGAACATAATTGTACAGATAAATCGACGTGAGGCAAGGGAAGGAATACCAAATTCTTTTAGTAAAGTGTTGTGGTCAAAGCCACGTTCAGGGTAAATTTTATATGTTTTATAATAAAGGTATTTCAGAAATTTTCGCTGAACCTTCTCTATCGCATCAGAGTTGTTGATATGATGAGGATACCAAATAATCGAACCGTATTCTAATTTTGAACGTACAATAGAATAGTACATGCAAAGAAGTGCATTGGTAGACTTAAATTGTTTACAATTTCTTAGTATCAAACCTAAAGATTGATGTGCTCTATTGCAAATATCAGTAACATGATCTGTGAAAAACAAACCAGAATCAAATAGAACACCTAAATCGGAAATTTTATTACATCTATCAATGCTGGTGTTAGAAATTTTATAATCAAAAAGTATTGGAACGCGCTTATGTGTAAAACTAAGAATCTTGCACTTTGATATATTTAGATGTAATTTGTTATAGATACACCAAGATTGGAAAAGGTCAAGTTGAGACTGTAATAATAAGCAGTCATCAATAGAATTTATTTTGAGATATAGTTTCAGATCATCTGCAAATAAAATGATCAAAAATAAAGTATGTCTTCTAATACAATTATCAAACAATTTGCGTAACATACACAATAAAATCAAGTTTACAGATTGTTTTGAAATTGGTGCCGTCCCGCAAGTGTTAAAATTATCAATATGTATATATTAATAAATGTTGACAATATCATAATTACCCATTAGCTTGAAGAAAAGGTTCGTTGGGCAAACGTATTTGACGGATTCTTGCTGGTGGTTTGTCCATAGATATGTAATAACCCAAAGCAATGATAGTTCTGCGGAATAATTATGTATATTATCTACATGTTAATTTTAAATTAAGTATATAAACTTAACATTTATTTTTTATAGAATATAATTTATGAACAAAATAATTGGAAATCGTCAAAAAATCAGTACTTGCCAAGAATATGAATACTTACTTGAGTGTTTGAATTGCTAATTGTGAATCATATTTTTTCTCAGCAGCAGGCAAATTATCAAATTGAGTCAAACATGGATGAATTTTGTGGACATCATCCCTTCGTTCACCCCAGCACCAGCCTGATTCTACCTTATTCAAAGCCCACATTTCATGGATATTCTCTGCCAATTTATCACGAATTGTTTCTACATAACTGGGCATAGTAACCTGCAATGAAATAATGATAATAACTCATCCTAGAATATCATTATTGCAAATGTGTAATATAAATAAATTTTTCAAAACTGAAATCTGATCAAAAATCTGCTTACCGATGTAGTGTCCACTGGCTTGGGAACAAACGCAGTGTCATCTTCAACCAACCAAGGTCCTGCCAAAACGCTTTTGTTGAGATTTCCGAAATAAAAGCATGGATCTAAACTCAAAATTTGTTGCGGTTGTAGGCATTCTACCAGTGGAGAGAAACCTTCAGGTGGCGCGTATTTAAGACGACCGTGGTCACCGCCGAGGAGAAAACGACAACTGAAAAATAATATTTTTGATTCAATATGTATATTATTTATGGAACTGTTGATTTCCAAATTTAAATTTATTTTACCTTAATTTAGAGGAACAGCTCATAACTGGATGGAACATGCCGTCCAAATTAAAATCGGTGAAGCTACCATGAATCCTCACTCCGTTCATTGTAAAAGTAATCAAAGGTATGCTTAAATCTAAAGCACATCCCACCACATCACCTTTCCTGATATAGGGTTCTTCGGCTCCGGGAAGAACCAAAGATTTTCTTCCACCCGTCCATAAATATGCACCATCGAAACCAAAGGAGTACAAATCATCACCTACGCCATTTCCTCCCCATTTTTCACCACCTCCAGGATAAGGGACGTAACTAAAAAAATAATTTACACTTAGTGAATTAGATATATAATTAGAGGATATTAAGCAGTCACTTAAGGAGCACAACTGAATTTGAAACTTCGAAATTTTCAAAAAATCGAATTTTCAATTTTTCCATATTTCGATAGACTATACCTTTAAAAATAATATACGAAAATTTTAAATCGATATATTAAATAGTTTTTGAGTTACAGCCATTTAAAGAGTATATATACAATATGTATAAAGATATCTTTATCTTTATCAATATCTATATATACAATATATATAAAGTATTATATAGTAAAAGGATCTTTTATCTTTAAACGCGTTTTTCTCGAATCAGCATTTTCCGAATTTGCTGCAGTAATTACTCAAAAACAAATGATCCGATCACTATCAATTTTTTTTATATGTTCTTTATATAGTTCTATTGATCGGATCAAAAATCGAATTGTGGCCGTCCAAAAACGACCAACATTATGGGTAGAATTCGTCTTTTTTTTAAAACGCTGCCATTTTGCCAATTTTTGATTATTTTTTTTAACGTAGGTCATTTTACAGACAATATTATCTAGATTAATAATTTTTTTTTTTTAAATTTCATCCTCGTAGAAGACCGGAGTCACTGCAGCAGTGAAGGGCCTTTTTTTCGCGCCGTTGGAGATCGACGATAACTTAAAAAATATTTAATTTTTTTCTTCAAACATTTTACTATGTATTCTTAAAACATGTGTAAATCTATTCTTAAAATTTTGAAATGATTGATAAAATATTTTTTTAATATAAATTCTCAAAAATCACCTTTTTTTGGCGGTTACTCTAGTTGTGCCCCTTAATATATAAAATAATAAGATATTCATAAAAAACTTAATATACGTGTAAATCATCAAAAGATGAATAAATATATATTTGTGAAAATTTTATTTTTCTGTAAATTTGGTAAAATTAAATCATTTTATTAATTATTAAAAGCGTGATTTTAATTTGAATTGGTTACATGTTTTTATTACCCTGTCTTTAACACCAGTAAACAAATAAATAATTTCTGACAAATATTAAACATGCAATAATGGAATAATTAAAATAATATGTTGTTGTTATAAATTTTAAAAATGATATATAATACAAACTTAGGTTTTTAAAAACTGACACCAGCAAAATACTTTATCGGCACTTTCTTTAATATTATATGATTCACTTTCGACAAGTAGTGTGGAAAATGCTTAAGAAAATATTCGATATTAATCCAATAATTATAAATTTTACAAGTAGAATATTAAGAATTTATTTAGTGTATATTCATTATTGATCCAAAGTTTATTCACTATTTTAATAAAAATAAAATTATTAGTAATGTTATATAAAATTACCCGGTAGTGTTTGCCCATCCAATTCGCAAATGTGGCATCATATGGGTTGTTTGTTCCAAGTGGTCCATTGTAACTTCAAAATACCATTTCTGGTATACTGCTGAACCTTCAACTTTTCCAACAAAAATGTTTGGTCGAATACTAAAAAAATAAAATATTAGTTTAATTAGAATGACACAATTATATTTTGTATTTGGGCATATTAAAAGTGTCAAACATTTTCATTGTGATAAAAAGACAGAAAAAAATTCGGTTTAAAAAAAAAAACGAAATTTTTTTTCATGCTCTGTTTTTGAATTTTTATACATTATATAGACTATTTTTAGACTTTATATTTGCCTGATTACCTGGCTACATGATCAACTAGTTGTGTCTGAAGCAACAGGTTTTTTCCAGGTAGAAGAAAGTCGCAAATGTTGTTTTGTGAAGAACGTACTGCAACTCCGTTACCCACACATAGGGAACATAATACATCCAAGACCTTAGGGTCGCGACCGTGTTTCTCCAAAAGCGAAATTATTACCTTGATGTGCTCGTCCTAGAAAAATTGATTTATGAAAAAATCGAATATTTTATAATATAAATAAGTATTCTTTACTCCACTATTTTTTGTGATATCAAAAACATTTTACCACTCCTGCCTATTGCATTTTTATATTTGAATAAAGTGCACGAGTAGTAGATTTTGAACAATAATAAATCCTTACGTTAATAGTTCTACATTAAAAATAGTACTAGTATTAAGTATTTTAATTTTAAATTAATTAATACTGCTAATACAATTTTCATTACTTTTATCGACTATAGATGTAGATTAGTATTAGTACTAATTTAATAAATATAATTAAGAGTTCTTGATTATTTTTTATTTATTTGATTGATTTTAATATTATTAATTTAGTGATAAAAAGTATTGGATATTTGTTATATTATGATGCTGATAATTAACTGTAGTTAATTAATAGCTAAAGGATTAGCAAAAATGTGGAAGATGTAATCTTGTTGATAATTTTTTGTTATGAACATATCACACCCACATTATATATATTGAAAATTAAAAAAAAAAATTAGGTATAACTTTGCGACAAATGAATTAAAAGTGAAAATTCGTAGGGTACAAACTTTGATTGAATTGCGCTCTATCTAAACGTTAATATTAAGAGCTAAAACTTTCAGAGAATTGTTTTTTATCAATTTGGAACCATTTAAGCCCCTGGGAGCAAGGAAATTCGAAAATGTCCATTTTAAGGACTACCCTAATATATATATATATATATATATATATATATATATATATATATAGTATGTGGGAAAACGTTGATACCTAATTAAAAATTAATTTATATAGTTTTTTTTATAATTACCCTCATCATATTCAAAGCTTCTGGCGAATCAATAAGGACACAATGCAATACATCCAACATTCCAGTGCCCTCAGATGACGCCTGAGACCCCAAACGTGAAAATAACCAATTTAGACGATTTGAATTGGCAAATTGAGCACAATTTGTGTGGTTTCCTTTTATAATTGCGGCTATAAAAATAATAAAAAATAAACAACAAAACTTAACAGTATTCTGTCGTATGTAGTAGCAACAGGTTCATCTTGCAAAATTGATGATTGATTAATAAACTATCGATAATTTATGTTTTTATATATGCGATATACATAAGATTGATCCGATTTGAAACTAAAAGAAATAGTATCTAAATATTTCCAAAGTTAATATTTATTTAGACTCGCTAAGGTAAAGGTGGTTTCGATAAGTCAGGCAGAAATAATGATAAAGTTGTATCCAATATACAATATGTTAATGCTCGGTAAGAATCGCGTTTACTGTTGAAAAAATCTATCAATACAATATTTAATCCATTCACATTTAAATCAACCCATTAATTCTATATGTATTTACCCAACAGTTGGTACAAATATCCAGAAATCATTTCCCAAGATTGGCCAGCATCGTCGCCGGCTAAAAATCCTGCCAAGAATCCTTGTGATGTTATTACGTTTATTTTATCAATAGCTTCTAAAATTAAATTTAATATTCCCTCTTCTTGGAACAAGTCTTGTCTATTTCTCAAAGCACGGAACCTGTTCTGTTTTTCTTCATGCTCTGGAGTAAAAATAATTTTATTGTTATGGATAGATTTCTATAAATATATGTATATTTATATGTGTATATATATATATATATATATATATATTATATAAAATATATAGTTAATAAAAAAATTGCATATTTATTATATTCAAACATCTTACCCATTTCTTCATCAGGTTGGGCAAAATAATTGATCAAATCTTCAAGACACATAACCATTTCACTAAGATTGACAGAAGCAAAAAACAAAGAATGCCTTCGATTTGTTTGTAATGTTTCCAAACCACTGAAAATAAAGATAATTAATTATTAATTTAGAAACATTAGTTATCATATATCATATATTGAATTAGGATCTATAACAATAAATCTTACTTTATGAATTTCGTGAACAAACTGGAACATTTTCTGATAACTCTCGCTGTCCTGGATTCCTCCTCCTGAGATCTTGAGAAATCTAGGCCATCGTCCATTTTACCTTCTTCGTGTAAGATTGCTTGTTTTTCTTCAACCTTTTGTAAAAAAAGAACACGTATTAGATCATAACATAATTACAGATGTAACTACAATACGTTTAATCATTATAATGGTTTTACCAAATTTCTAATTTTTGTGTATGTAAATTAAAATTCTAATGTATTAGAAATTTATCATGTTGTTGATATAAATAATAAAATAATTACTACAGCATATACTAAGTTTTTGGCCACAAAATAAAATTAAACAGAATATCAAAAATTACACTAAAATGCTATATTCATAATTAGTTATATATAGTTATGTTTATTTTGCATTTAATACTGCAGTAACTAAGTAACACATTTTTCTGAAATAATTGCATATTATAGTTACCTTTCCAACACCTTTCTTTTTGGTTTCATAACTCTTGTAAGACAACCACAAACCGCTTTCAGAATGTTGCATAATTACTGTAGAATCACCATACTTTATAATAGGAGATCCTATAACTTCAAGATCCTTGTCTTCAAGAACAACTTTTTGGTCATCTTTTTCTTGGCGTAAACAAAACGCAGTCGATGCTGTGGTGGCCTCTTCTCTAAAATAATAATATTCATTGTTATAATAAATTGAAATTTGTATGCTATAATTAATACAAGGTGCTTTAGAGTTGTTTGAAAAAATATTAGGAAAAATTTGGAAAAATCAAATGATGTATTTATATAGAAGTTGTACTTTTAGTAGTTCTACTAAATTCCTAAAACTATTAATAATTTTCAAATGATATATTGATGAGTACTTTTATTATGATTTCTAGATTTCGTAGTTTCTTACCTTCTGACTAAATACAGTTCATTGTTTTCATTAACTCCTAGATATCTGCCAGTAGTGATATGTCTGATTCTCATAGGATGGTACCAATTTATGAAACCACCAGCCCATTTTGTTCGGGCCAATTCCAACCGCCACAAACTTCTGGCCTGACTCATCACAGAACCACCTTCGTAGACCACAATGCTAAAATATAAAAAATAATTATATGTATATATATATATATACTGTTTTTATTTATTATATGAAATATAAATTAAAAAACTTAAGACCGCCTGTATTTTGCGTTTTCCATGAATCTAATCGTACCAATAGCCAATAATAAATTATCAATCTTGAAATATTCCTCATATTTTCAATCGTCAAATGATTCTTATTATTTGTACATTTTTTAAATAATAAGTGCAAATGTAAAATATTAAATAATTTTATAAATCACAGAATCCTATTGGATTATGGTTGGATTCTTAGTAAAAGCTTCGATATTAGTCTTAATCATGCTACTGCATTCGAGATGGCGCAACATTTTCAGAATTGTAAGTAGTGTTATTTGATATTCTCTTAAAAATAATTAATCTGAATTGAATAGTATCTCGTTTAGTTTATACTACACTAAATGCTAGTTAAAAAATAACTATATATACTATATTTATGATAATATATAAAACGATCGTGAAAAAAATAAAAGTAAGTAAATATGCTAAAATTGCTTGAATTTGATTTAGGATACTTTTATAATGATTATGAAAAATTGTGTTACTAACTCATTATTGATTTTTAAGATTTATTCTAATACCAATTGTTCTGTATTTAAGTTATACTGTGTTATTTTTTTTTTTTTTTGAATTCTTACTTTTGGCCCAAGGTTTCGCTCCATGTTGACGGTATGGTCAGGCACTCGTCACCACCATGAAAGAATCTAAGGACATCTCCTCCGAAAACATATCCAACATATTTCATTTTACTGATACCGGTTCCATAAGGCTGGACTGACCAGTGGGTAACATGGAAACTGGCGTTGACAACTGAAAGGTCGTTTTCTTTTGTTGTGTGCTAAAATATAAACAATATTTTATTTTTTATTATCAAAAATAAAGACCCTATAGTTTAATGCAGGTGCGGATTTGAAAAATTTGGTTGAGATTTTTAATGTTGACTGGTATGGTTTTGTGAGAAATTATGTTATCCTGAAGAACTATGAACAGTAATTTTAAGTAATCTTGGTTCTGATACAACTTTTGTTAAAACTAAACATTTTTAAGAGCTTTTTGTGCACATTTAGTCTTTGTGAATATAACATATCAATATAGAATAAAATATTTTATTTTATTTCATGTAACTTTTCAATGGAACTTTCAATTTGTTCAATTGGAGCTGATACCTTTTGATAAGATAATTGCTAATTCTAGGCAGTGTTAACATATCTTATAATAAAAGCAAATAGAAAAATTGTAATCTGTTAAATGTCAAAATGAAAATATCTAGAATCTATTGAAGTAAGATGGTTCACTGCCAATGTGGATTTTTGTTTTGATCTTCTTCACTTTTTTTTCAAATATTCGACCATAATTTAAAATAAAAATTAGTTTAAATTAAAATTGGTTATGATTGCAGATAATCTGTACAATAACTATATCTAAAACAATTTTATAAATATACATATACAAATGTATTATCAAATAATACTATCTTACCAAGTAACGTTCAGTTGCTACAGATACCAAAATTAAGTCGTCACCAACACGCACTTTTTCACCTTCAGATCTAGAAACAGAAAAATATTTCTTGTCTTATAATAGTCTTGAATTGTGATTAATATCAAGGTAATCATGTTTTTTTTTACCTTTGTTTGCTCGCTGGATGAACGGTCCACCAACAAGCTTCACCCTTGGAATGTTCTTGCAAACCGACATCGAATGATAATTTATCATTTGACGAACTTGTTGAAAGACATGCTAAATGCTAAAATTTTTTATGTATAATATTATGATAAAATTACTAAGTAGGGTTGTTTGTATATGCATTTTATATTAATATGTTCTACGAACCATGTCACTGTTTTGATGTCGAAGAAGTATAGCATTGCCATAGAGAAGTGTTCTGTGGCCGGAACCAGTACCTTTTCCCTAATAAAAATATAAGCAACGTATTGATAAACATTTCAAATTAAAGGGAAGAAAGCAAAATTTTAAACCTGAAATTTTTGCTTGTAATTTTATCAGACTTGGTTGGGTAAGTGTTAATGTTTTCTTGAAAGAACATATGACTTTTCTACTATTAGAGTTAATTTACTGGATATAATAACGCAGAATATTATAATTTATGTAACAATCTCATATCAAAACATAAAATGAAAAAAAGGAAAAGTATGATGAAGTTTTCATATGAGTATCTAATTGGATTCATACAAAAATCTTTGTAATTTGTTCTAGAAAACTATGAAATTGGATATCTTTTTGGTTTATACATATTCTTCGTTTGCTGCAAATAACTGCAAATTCAATATAAGAAGAATTTATTTGTTTTGACTCAATATAGATAATTTGTGTTAGAGGGCGTCCATTAATCACGTGATCGAGTTTTTAATGATTTTTGGACCCCCCATCCCTCTGGTGATTTGTGATAATATTCAAAATTACACCCTCTCCCCCACCAAGCATTACGTGCATTTCTAGATACGAGAAAAAAAATTTAATGTTTGGATTTTTTTAAAAAAAATTCAGGTAAAAAATAACTCAGCATGATATTCTATTTTACCCCTCTCCCCACGTGACATTTCGTAATTTTTTGTCAAACACTCCCTTCGCCAAAAAACCTAACGTGACTAATTGGTATTTGATTATCTTAAAGCTATTTAAAATATCTATTATATTTCCAATACTTAAATAATTTTGTGTTTAAAATATTTGTATAGTTTTAAAAATTACTTCTAAAATACTTTCATACATTTGCGAGATATTTTTTAAAACGTAGAATCCATTTAGAATGCATATGGGTTCATGGGTTCTTAAAAAATTAAAAGCTTCGATAAATTAATATTGCTACTGCTTTCTAGATAGCGCCAACATTTTTAAAATCGTGAGTAGTGTTATTTGACTCTTTCTCATAAAAGCAGTAAATCTAAATTTAATCTTGTCTAGTTCAGTTTATACTACAGTCAATGTTTGTTGAAGAATTAACTAACTTTATATACTATGCTTATATATAACAAAACCTTAGTAGGAAAAATAAAAGTAAGCAAATGTGATAAAAAGGTGTAATTTTGTTTCAAGATACTTATATAATGACCATAAAAAACATTTTAATAACTCATTTTTAGTTTTTAATAATTACGCTTGAATTATAATTGAACGCAACAATGCATACCAGTTTTTACTGCTATGTAATTTTGTCTTTTCTTATCTAGTATCATTAGGATTAATCATTAAATTTCTATAAAACCAACATAAATACACGTTGAATTGTCAATAATTTTTATAAATAATAATTGACTATCACCAGTAATTATTTATTTATTTTTACCGTTGCGCTTCCGGCCGCCGTAACCAGCTCCTGCAAGGCTCGCACCGACAAGGCCTGCTCTATCACAAAGACGCATTGAGATAGATCCGGTGGAATATTTTTATCTGCTATATTTTCAAGGAAACAGTGCCGATTACCAAATCCTTCAGCAGCTAAACATACTCTTTCTCCTGTGGCTGTGCACGAAAGACATACCATGTCTTCCTATAATATTCAAAAAATACTGTAAGTATTGCTTAATAGTAAACAAATTTAATAAGAGCTCTGGTATCATGGTAAATCTATTAGCAAGTTTTAGTAAAATCAACCAGAATCAGTAATAATGATAAATAATATCCGTCTATTTTGTTTAGTATCAATTTTATTTGTGCATAGAAATTATTAATGTACAAAATATAAATTTTGCATTGCATGCAATTTATGAAATATATCGAGATTTCAATATTAGCAGTTTTGTAAGCAAAATGTAGATCTCAGAGTGTTTCATTTTATACACTATTTCAGTTTAAATATATGTTAGTCATTAAACAAATTGTTTTATAAATAATATGCAGTGCAAATACAACTATTTACAGACCTACGATACTCCTGAAATTTCAATATTGAATTCTGATATTACACAATAGTCAATTGTTATTTACTATTATAGTATTACTATGATTTAGTGTTATTCAACGATGCAAACAATTATATTAATTTTAAGTGTAAGCAAAAACAAAACCTTTAAATAATACAAACACAATACTAAGACTGAATTTAAATTTGTTGGGCCTATACACAATATTATTTTATATGTAATGTACATCAAGACTTTATAAAGTTACATACATGATTTAAAAATATTCGATTATTAAAAATAAAATGCATACATAAAATTAGTAAAAACACATGAGAACATTCATACTCATACAGAATAAATAATATAATCATCCAATTATGAAAAACTAGAGTTAAGGTTAAATATAAAAATAATAAAAAATTATAGTATAACTATATCATTATCCAAACTCTTAATGATATGAAATAATAATTACTGTAATGAAGGAAAGTACATGAATAAATATAAGAAAGATTTAAGGTAAACAGATTTGAAATTATTAAAACAAATAAAAATAATTCATGCAAATAAAATAAACTGATAACAACAATATAATTGGAGAAAAATTATAATAATAATAATTCAAATAAAAATAATAATTTTAATCCGATTTAGACATTCTACAAAGGAATATAAAAAAATGTGCGGATATTATATTATGTAATAGGTGCGAATATATATGAAAAGCAAATAAAAAAATTTTAAAATAAAAAATTAAATGTTCTTGTCGTGTTATTAAAGTATCTCTTTGCTACTTCTACTATAGCGATTTTTTATTCTTATATCATTTATCTCATTATATTGGCTTCAGATTTACTAGATGTCCACTAAGGACATTTTATAAATGGCTAAGGACATCTAATAAGGTTAAAAAAATATTTTCCAAAAATGATTAAAATCTTGTTAATTCTTATTATCCTTGATCCAGAAATTTAAAACTATTTATAAATATAAGCCAAAATTTTGAAAAAATTACAAACTTACCGTGCGCAAGAATGAAACATCATCCTGCTCGGAGCCTCCTTCGGCTTCCGCCATAATTCAATTTTTTTGGAGGATCACTTAAATCGTGTCGTTTGGTTTCACTTTTACTACAATAAAATTGTAAGTTGACTTAAGACATCTAATAAAAACATATGTTATAGTAGGACAACACAAAATTTACAAAAACTATTGGTGAATGGCATGGTGCTTCAAGGCAAATTTCTGGAACTTCGAGGAATTTTAAATGCTATACAATAGACTATTATTGAAACTGTGTATTTCATTATTCATATTTTATAGACAGAATATAAGAGCGTATAAATTAGACGCCGGTGTTTATATATGTTTACATGAGAAGTAAACTTGATCCAGTGGAGTTTAGAATTAAAGATATATTCTCATATTTATAAGAGTTTTATAAAGTGTTTAAAATCAAGTAACCAATCAATTTAATTATATTTTAATATAGATCATCAGAAAACGTACAAAACATCGGTTTAAAATTATTTTGTTGACTAGTATAATCGACTCATCACATTTTCCTCGGTAAACTATAAATAGCACGTATTTAGTATGCCGCTGTGATTAAATTTGAATTTGGCGCGAGACTTGTAAGAGTGATCAAATTTTTATTTCGCTTCCATTTAGCATTTACATAGCATATATACCACAGTACTTAATGACTTTTTTGGCCTTTTATTTATTTTTGTTTTGGCTAATTTAGCTGATACTCAGATTACCCAAAGTTAAAAACTGTAAATTTTGTTGAGCAATATTAAAAAATGCATAGCATTTCATATTTATATGAAAAATTTACGTTTGAAAATGTAATACATTAACAATTCACTATTATGTAGTTATAAAAATTAATGGTTTCTATTTGCTTTATCATATAAAATTTCCATGAATAATTTAATGATAAAACTTAACTAAAATCAAAATAATTCGATCAAGACTTCTATCAAAATAATTTATTATATTTCGATTTTCTGCATAAGCAACTATTCAATTTTGTAAATTATTGCATTAATAGCAAATTTGCACAGAAAGAATATATTTTTGATGATATTTACAGGTTTTAATCACATATACATAAAATCATAGTATATTCGATCATAATTTCTGGCCACGTGTCTTGTAATCTAAGGTTTGAAAAACGTCATTTCACTACTTAATAATATAATAGTTGTTGATTCTCAATAGGTAATTGTTTTAGCAACAAAACGAAATTTTATTATAATAAGTGTTCAAATTATTTTTAATTAATTTTAAATTATTTTATTTATACCAACTCTAATGTAGAAAATGAAAATATGAGTTATTGTTAAATAAACTTTAAATTTGACGATAAAAATTATATAAAAAGTGACATTTTCTTCCAATAATTGAAGATAGTAAAACAATTTCGTTACTAAAATATTTAAATAATAATACGATATAATATAGTTTAGTAAATAATTATTACAAAATCTTGTAGCTCAGTGATAGAAAAAAATCAATTTAGAAACAAATTTTAAAATCAGCACTTGCCATCGCCATTTAAATAAAATTTTAATCCTGGTTAATATTCCATTATCAATCGGAATCACTCAATAATTAACAATTTAATTTATTATATTGTATCCAAAATCCAGAATTAAATTATATTAGCTGTAGTGTTATCTTTTGCCATAAACTTCCATATTCACTTTTGGCCTCACTCTATCACTGAATTATTTAGAATATCACCACCACATAATTTGACCACAACATTTAATTTTTACCTGTTAAATTAAAACCATGGAGATATATCCGAATTATATTTTATTAAAGAGTATGTGGTACCTCCATCAGGCACCGACTGGTCCTAAAATAATTTTCGTTTAGTATTAAAATAACTCCCAGCTATAGCTTGTATATGTCTAGCAAAGATTTGTTATACGAGAGTGTTATATGTAATGCATGCAATGATCTAGTCAAGATATTACTCAATATGACTATTTTATTACTATTATAATAATAAATATTATTGATTAATATTTAAAACCATTCGAAATATATTTGTTAGGAATCATGCGTATTTTTCTTAAATATTATCTGTGCCGTTATTATTATCTTCTTCATAATTAATTGTTGAATTTTTTTTATGTTGATTTTCATACAACTTTTTAGATAATAAAATTCATGGTCTTAACAAACATCCTTGAAAATTTTAAGGTTTCAAACAGTGGCTTAATTATAAAAATTATAATTAACTGAAAACCTATTTAGAAAATAAATTGATCATAATAAATAAATAATATCACATCTCCAATATATTCACCAAAATCATAGTATCAATAAATAATATTTTGCATTATAATTACACATAATCTAGTAAAGGAACTAAATTATGATAGCACCAATTTATTACATTCGAAATAAATATTCGAACTCTTAATATTCGAAAAATATAATAATAATAAATACAACTATTCAAAATTATCAATGTTTTTTTCCCTGATTATATACATATACATACAATTATATTTCCGCGAAGATAGTTTTTGAAACGCAAATGTTTTGTCAAAGATCCAAAATTTATATGAAGGTCAATGTGACTCACCAAAATTCTTTCTATTGCATCATTGCATTAAATTAATTTAACTCAACAATTATTCATAAATATTCATACGATTTTGCATTGCCATTTTTTTAAATGGGTAACAAAATACATATTTAAGTTTGAAGTGAAAATAAATATGATCATTACGTGATATCATCACACCAAAGAGTCCTGTTTACAGCGTGGTCTTCTTTTCATCCGCCATCCGCCCCGAAGGGAGGACTACCGAAGGAGAGCCGTCCCTGTCATGCCTCGGGCAGACAGAATTTCGCTGCGAGAGTTTTGCAATCTCCGAACAAATGTAGATTACCTTATTTTGAAATGGATTGGTATTCGAATTGATTGAAGGATGGCGCTACGATTTCCAATTTCATTGATCTAGCTTGATCTATATATTGATTTCATCGCCATTTTCTATAAGTTGTCATCGCGTATTGTAGTTGAGATGTGTTATATTTGTTTTTCTGTGATTGTTTATATATACTTATGTTTTGGTGAATACTTTTTTCATTTATTATTAAGTTAAAGTGGTAAAGTGTAATGTGCCAAATTGTTATAACTCCAAATATAATAAAAAATGCATGTGTCATATTTGTTTTTCTGTGATTGTTTATATATACTTATGTTTTGGTGAATACTTTTTTCATTTATTATTAAGTTAAAGTGGTAAAGTGTAATGTGCCAAATTGTTATAACTCCAAATTTAATAAAAATGCATGTCTTTCCGGAATCTAATTATCAGATATGTATATAATGATGTATTATGCATATAATGAATATGTATCAAGAAAACTATTAAAATGTTATATATATATACATATTATATATATATATATATATATATACGAGTATATATATATATATACGAGTATATATATATATATGTATATATATGTATACATATGTAGCGGACTTGATAGCTGTCAGTTGATTGATGCGTCAGTTGATTAGTGATGAACACTCAACTAAGTTAGTTATCAACAAACTCGCGTTATCATCGCGTTAATATTGTGGCACTTATTTCTATAACTGGTGACTGCGAACGTGAGAAATGAAACAAGTAAGCAAGACATACAGAACGTCCTAGTACCCATAATTGGTGACTCCGGACGAAGTAAACAAAAGCACGTGACAGCTACAAAGAAATTTACTAAGGTAAATTATACGTTTAATTTTTTCGAAGATGTCGACTCGATCTACGCCCATCAATGAGGAAACAGCTTTTAACAGATCTCTGATCGATCTGGATCACGAGGCAAACTTAAACACGAGCAGTCCACGTGTTTCTAAATATCCAATTCCGGAGCAATCCAGAAAAATGATCAGCAGGAAGGCAGAAAAATGATCAGCAGGAATTAAAACACAATCGGCCAAGACCAAGAAGTGGCTCTCGACACAGGTTCAGGACACCTTCTCGTGGATCAGTTTGCTACTATCATTACAGATTTGGTGAGAAAGCCACAAAGTGTGTGGAGCCCTGCCTGCTCAAATCGTTAAACCGGACGGAAAACTAACTTCACCGTCATTAATTGGAGCATGCATTGACGGTGAAATAAATTCTGTTTGCTCTGAGCTCTGACAGACTAGTAGACAGAAAGACTTAAATCCAATTCCTTATAGATTTCGGATCAGTTTTATCCATATTACCAGCCCATAAGTTCGCTAATGGTCATGCCAAGGAAGAACTAGTTTCGTTTGCAGCAAACTCTAGCAGAATATCCACGTATGGCAAGAGAACTCTGGAGCTGGATCTATCACTACGCAGAAGCTTTAACTGGCAGTTTGTTGTTGCCGATGTAGCCACAGCCATTATGGGAGCCGATTTCCTAAGCAACTACAATCTGTTGATAGACTTGAAGGGCAGAAGATTAATTGATTCGACCACAGGCCTTACCTCTGATGGAAAGGTACTCAAGGCACAGCAAGTCAACATCTCCACTGTCAACCCGGCAGAGTCTTTCAAGGATTTACTGGCACAATACATTGCAGTAACAAAGCCGCAGGTAACCACCAATATTAAATCATGTCATTTTTCGCATAGGATAACCACAACAGGTCCACCGGTAGCTGCCAGGTTCAGGAAGATCTTCGGAGAAAAGACTGTTGCAGCTAGGCCCGAGATACAAGATCTCCTGAACAGGGGCATTTTGAGGCCTTCCAACAGTCCATAAGCAAGCCCTATTTACATGGTTCCAAAAAAGAATGGCACATTCAGACTGTGTGGAGATTATAGGAGGCTGAACGCAAACACGCTGCCCGATAGGTATCCTCCACCCTTAATACAAAATGTGTTTAATACTCTGCATCAGAAAACAGTATTCTCTAAAATAGACCTGGAAAAAGCCTACCACCAAGTACCCATGCATGAAGAGGATATTAAAAAGACTGCAATTATTACCCCATGGAGACTCTTCGAGTATCTATGTATGCCATTTGGACTCAAAAACGCCGCCCAGACATTCCAGAGGTTTATCAATCACATCTTCCAAGATTTTAATGCTGTTTTTATTTATATAGACAACATCCTGGTAATGTCCACTGACATGAATGAGCACCGTCGTCATCTTCAAATGGTTTTTGAGAGGCTACAGGAGTATTCACTCACAATCAATGTAGAGAAATGCGTCTTTGGTAAACATGAGGTAAACTTCCTGGGTTACAAGCTGAGTGCAGCAGGATATTTTCCTTCACCAGACAGAGTAGAGAAAAATATTAATTATCCAAAACCTTCGACAGTGATTGAACTACGAAGATTTTTGGGCATGGCAAATTATTATCGTAAGTCAATACATCAAGCTGCTAAAATACAAGGACCACTTTATGATTATTTGAAGTTCTCAGTAAAAAATGGCAAGACTTTAATTATATGGGATGACAAATCACAATCAGCGTTCAACAAACTTAAGGAAGCTCTGGCAAATGCAACTCTTCTTCATTATCCTGCAAGCATAGCAAACATTAATTTAATTACAGATGCATCCACTACTGCTATAGGAACTACATTAGAACAAGAACTTAATGGTGCCTGGCATCCAATAGGTTTCTTTTTGAAAAAGCTTTCATCTACAGAACAAAGATACTCCACAAATGATCGGGAATTACTAGCTATTTTTGCTGCAATCAAATATTTTGAACATCTCTTAGAAGGCAGACATTTTTTCATAAAAACTGACCACAAACCTATATCTTTTCAACAGAAACTAGAGAAGGCTTCAGATCGTCAGCGACGGCAGCTGGAATACATCTCACAATTTTCCACTGATATCATATATGTGAAGGGTGAACAGAACGTGGTTGCTGATGCCTTGTCCAGGATTAATTCCATTCAAATGCCTTCAAAGATAACTGCAGAGGAAATTTCGAAAGAGCAGAGCAAGAACGTTGAAATGCAGACTATATTGAATGGCAATACTTCTCTGAACCTACATAAGTTGTCATTAGACAGCCATCCAGTTTATTGCCACACTCAAGATAATCTTGTAATGCCCTATCTTCCGCAAAGTCTTTGCAGAACTGCTTTTGACACAATACAAGGAAATTCACAACCAAGCACATCACAAGAATTTAAACCACATCACTTGGAGTCAACGATGGATCCTCCAAGAAAGATTAAAACCAAAAAAATCTCCTTCAAATTATGAATTTATTTATTTTTAAAGATACTTCGTTTTTCAAAGGTGCCAGAATAAAATTCTGCGTATCCTTACTAATGCGCCTTGGTATATTTCGAATTTTTGTCTACATAAGGATTTGAAAATCTCAACAGTCAACGAAATGATCAAGATTAGAAGTTCATCTTTCAACAATAAATTAATCCAGCATACAAATCCTACAATTCAAGCGATTCACAGACCGATAAGAAGATTGAGCAAGAAATGGCCTTCCGATCTACCAAACACCTAGCCCATTGTCTGCACGCGTCCTGACGTAGTACGCGGCATACATCATCACGTCATCGTTCATTTATGTTATTATTTTTGTATTCTGTTTTAATTTAATTTTTATTTTAACTTTTTTCATTTTAAATTCAATGTATTGCATTTTTTGTTTTTTTGTATTTTTTTTGCTCATATCAATTTTGTAAATAAGACATTAAAGTCTTGATTAACAAAAATAAATTGTAAAAAAAAAAAAAAATTCTTTTGAAGGGGAGTGAACATGTAGCGGACTTGACAGCTGTCAGTTGGTTAGTGATGTACACACAACTAAGTCAGTTATCTAGAACTTCGTATCTAGCAACCTGTTGCAGATTATGTTTCGGACAATCGAATAAACGGTTCTCTCTGATTTTTGTTTCCGCGATTATTGTCGAGTAAACTTATTGAAATGAATTGACATAAAAATTAAATATTACATTAGTTTCTTTGTACAGTCTGTAGTTATCAATAAACTCGCGTTATCATCGCGTTAATATCGTGGCACTTATTTCTATATATATATATATATATATATATATATATATATATATATATATATATGTGTGTGTAAATATTTGTAAAAAGATGCTTTCAATTTGGATGCAGAGGGCGAATAATCCTTTAATGGATGACCTAACTCTTCGATTTGTGGCACAAGACGAAGATAATTTGAAATCGAAACCAATTAGAAGTGTCTCCTTTACGGCAATAACAGAATAGTTTTCAAGTCACTGGAGAAAGCTCTTAGCACAGAACCAGAAGAACAATCTGCAACTAGGACAAGGACAAGTAATTATAACTCTAAATACTTTAATACCATTTGCAAAAAAATATTAATAAATGAATCATATGTTCTTAGTTAGGAGATGAAAGCCTAAAAACCTAAAAGGATTTTTACAGCAACACCAGTTTTCTGCAAAGGAATTTTTTCATAATAATTGCAGCAAAAATAATTTATATGATAATAACAATACCTTCAATTAATATGATATAACAATATATTCAATAGAAGTCCTTGGTGGTAGCTGCACATTGCCGCAGAATGCAGTGATAAGGCAAAGGCGTAGGAGTGCCTTAACACCCAGAAGATGTATGATACATCAAATTTTGTTTCGGGATTAAAAAGGATTAACAAGCAATGCAATAATTTAAAGGATAAATTCCAAAAGAGTATACAATGTTCTGAGAAGTTTTCAAATAATCCGGAAACGTAAAATGTAAGGGCAAGAATTTTGATATTGTCTCAATTAAGAGAGCATACTCAAAGACCAGGCAGTTTATAAAGCGCAAGGGTTTAGTTATAGTTTTAACTAAACCTCCTTGCAATAAAAACTGGATTAAAACAATAGATGGGTTTGAGCTACAATTAGTATAAATTAAAAGTAGTTTAGGGTTTTGGTTACTTACGTTTAAAAAAAAACACTTATACAGAAACTATTCAAAGATTTCGTCAAATATAACTTTATTAATGATTGATTAGATAGCAAAATAACTATTAAATGGAGAGATAATAAAATAAATGAATTTTAATCCTAGGAATTTAGTTTTATCTCAATTTGGATATCAATATATATATTTTTTGTTTTTAGGATTATTTTGTTTGGAGAGTATTCGTTCTTTTTTAAAAATCTGCTGTTCTTTTTATCCTTTTAAATTATTGCATTACTTGTCATTCCTTCTAAATTTGTCATTCCATCGTCAATACTCCTGCGCTTTTCACTTCTTAGTTTTTAAGTTTTTAATATATTATTATTAGTCGTTAAGTAATTAATATAAATAAGTTATTTCTCTTTAATTTGTAGTACTTTAAAAATATGTCTGTAATATACTTTCATTAATAGTAGTCAGATATTTCTGTTTAGTTTATAATACTTTAAAAATATGTCTGTGATATATTTGAAAATATATTTTGTATTTCGTATCTTTTGTTCTTATTTCAAATCATTAATTTTTTTCAGATTTTTGGGCTGTATTGATTTTATGTACAAATGTAGAAGTAATACCAGGGGTTAATTTACATACTGTATGTACATGTGCTGCCATGTAGTGATCAATTCGTAAATTAAAATGAGTGTAACGTCAAATCACCCGAGATAGCGATCTATTTATGCTTATTTATCTATGGCCAAATCCGCCAGAGGAAAAACAATTTCTTAATACCTATAATAGTCTATATTCTGCGGCGGGAGTTACGGAACGAATCAGTGACTTGTAAAGTTAATCATAAAAAGAAGACCACGCTGTAAAAAAGACTCTGTGGTGTAATGCTTAGGCGATCTGTTTCGAGTGGACAGGATCGAGGGTTCGAACCTCCGCTGTGAACAACCTAATACACAGCAATAGTGGTATCAATTTTCGCTGGGGAATATAAATTTATAACATGTTTCCAATTAAAAATGCACATGTCCGGCACTACTGCGGCTTAAAATGCCAAAGAAAACATCTCTCACAGTTGTTACCTGAATCGAGTTGGAGTTTAAATCAGCTCTCGGACATGCCCTAGGACTGTACTTTCTATTAATATTATTAATATATTGAATTCATAAATCTAATATAATGAGCTTATTATCATAAGACTCTCGTAGTTTTTATTATTTCCTGTAAACATTTTGAATCCAGGGCTGTGCCTGGTCAGCGTGCAGTGCACAAAACAACAAATTCAAAGGCAGCGATAACAAAAAGTGGTCGTAATAAATAGCTGTCGCATTAAAAGTCTACTGAATTAAAAGGCGGCCAACTCATTCGCTGCCGTATTGAAAGTCCGCTGTATATATCTAAAAAACCACCGTAGTAAAAATAAGCCAAAATCGGCCGTATTTAATGCGAGATCGAATCAAAAACAGGCAACTCTAAGCTCTGTTCACAAATAATTTTTAAGTGTATAAACTTGGTGTAAGTGGCAAGTTGCGTGAACTCTCCAACATGTGTAAATCCACTTAAATATAAAAAATATATTAATTCAAGAGTACATTGCAATGTGAAAAACTATCGCAATTCTTGCCTTGTCATGTTCGTTCGTTCATGTGCATTCATACCATAGAATATTTTTGTACCTGAGAAATGTATGGGGACTAGCAGTCCATGTATATAAGGTCTATGGTTAAAACAGGTAAAATAATAGGAGGGCAAAGCGGGCGCTGAGAATCCCTGATAATAATATATTAAATTATTACTAAGAAAAATGTAATTTAGATATTATAATTACTAAAAACCTATTAAAATATAATACGAAATTATAAAAATTGTAGGAAACATTATTGGAACAATTAGAAAAAATCCAAGGTAGTATTGTACTTTTACCGCGGATACTATATATTAATTTTTTCTGAATTTGTTGTACCGTTTAAAAGATTTCAATTTCCAAAATAGTGTGGAAATTAAGACCATCATTTTATTTAAAGCAGTTAAGAACAATTAACATCACTCATGTGTATGCATTTTGGTGTGAAGAGTAACTTAAAAAACATACTTATTATTTTTAGGTAAACTGTATATATTAGTAAAGGATTGTAAAAATTGTAGACGTGGGTACAAGACAACGTCTGTCGGATCATCTAGTATATATATTAAAATTTAATTTATTTTTTATGTTATTTATTTATCGACATCCAGGAAGAATTTTCCCAACATTGTATTCTCCTCAGGAAATTGTTTTCTCCATTCGCTTTTAAAGTATATGACGTTCAACAGCACCATAAACATCCGCTGGAGCAAAATAAATTTGTCAATATGTGATCAAATAAAAATCAATTTTATTAAAAATTCACCACCTTCCGTGGTTGACCAATTCCGTGATGTGTCCTCTTGTAACATTGGCGACCCACTGATTCATAATGGCAGCACTATCGTATTTGGTGACAGTACCATCACTGTTATTTTTATTTATTCCATTTGTGAAATCTATAGACCCGATATCCGAGTCGTAGAACATTTTGGCAATCGCGTTGAAGCGTTGCCTTGGCTGGATCATGTGGGAAATGTAAATCCTGGTGTCGAAATCTAGATGGTAGGCAGGATTCTTGGCCTGGAGGAATAAATTGTAATAAAAATATTAAGTAAATTAATAATGTTTGAATGTATTCAACCTTTAGTGAAGCTATAATTTTTCCTGCACGTTTCCTGTTGCTCTGGTAACTATCAGGAAGGGAGAGTAGTCTCAAAATTTCCAGCTTTTGTCTGATATTTTGGCCTGCAGTAATATGAATTTGAGAAATATATAATTATCTTTACGAGCATAAAAAAAGCTAAAGTTATGCAACGTACATTTAAACAAGATTTTAAATTTATGTATAGCATAGTATTACAGTGTGTATATATTTACTTGCGTTCTTATATACCAATAACTTTATAATGTTTGTGATGTGTATTTTCACATTTTTAAAAATAAATTTTTAAATTTTCTATATTTTGAAAATTGGTTTTATTTTATTATGAACACCATTTAAGCTGTTATAAAATTATTAATTATTGAAATACACTTGTAAAAATTGTAATGATCAATTAAAATAATCATAAAATGGGAAAAGTAGTATTTATTATATGTTATTCATTTAATTGTTTTTCAACTTTGCAAAGGAGTGGTTTGTTTTCAATAGATAATTCAAGTTGCTTATTTTGTGTTTTCTCACATAATGTCATTTGATTTTGATTATTTAAAATAAACGAAATTTAAAGTTAAATGTAATATTAAACATTTTTTGAACTAATTTATATTTTTCTTTTGACCTTGGTTTGATTTTTTTCTTGGTTTGACTTCCCGTAGGGTAAGTTATAGTAATCGCAAAAAAATCGAAATTGAAAATATATATCTTTACGTTTCAGAGGTTTCTGAATATTTTGGCATACCTTAGAAAAAATGGATGTATGTGTGTGTGTTTGTGTGTGTGTGTGTGTGTGCGTAGTATGTATGTGTGTGCGGATACAAATTTTCGTTGACGATTTCGGGAACACGGATGAAGCAATTTGAATAATTTAATCCGTATTGATAAGGAGACGTGCTGATTAGTTTTTGGCGGAGGTAGGTCTAGCCGTTCCGAAGATATGGGGCAAAAAGTGCCAAAAACGGTACCTCAGTTTTTAATAGAACGGAGCGTCCGATTTTAATAATTCAAAAAACATTTTACTTGTATTGACAAGATGAAGATTTGATCAAATTTTTATAAGGGCAGGTTTAGTGGTTTCGGAGATATAACAAAAAAAGTAAAAAAAAAGGCCATTTGGCGGTCAAAAATGATCATTAGACATATGCACATCAAATTATCAGATATTTTATAGAGATTTTAACAATAAGTATAAATTTTGTTTACATTCCTATGGGTTCCGTACCAATGTTTACCCGTTAGACAGCGACGCGGCGCTAGCGCGCTTTATATTTTGTCTCTATGCATTTAAAGCAGTACGATTGCTTTGAAAAAAAGTTCAGATCTTTCAACATATGTCAAAATAAAGAAAACATTTTTTGTTTCAAAAAAAAAAGATTTAAAAAAAAAAATTTTTAATTTTTTTTTTCAAAAAAAAAGTAATTTTTTGTCAAATTTATAGTTTCTCAAAAATCTTATTTTTTCGAAGTAATTTTTATTCAAAAATGTTAATCGTTTTTAAAACAAATAATAATTTTTGGTACGGGAAGTTCCAGCAATTTGCCTTAAGGCACGATGCCCTAATTAATAAGACAGAATTCCACTTACAGCTAGTTTATATTTCAAAATATTTAACCAACTCTACTCTCAATAAGTACACAGTAAGAATCTTTTGCGCTAAAATTTATTAGTTTACAATAGTTTTGTGGCTAGTTTGTATCATCATTAGTAATTTTATTGTAAACCAATAAGTCAAAACTTGAAAAAAAATTGTATGTTTGTATTTATATAATATTTAATGGCTTCACGTGTTGCAGGAATGTAGAACTAAATTTTCTATCAAAATTTAAAAGCAATTCCACAAAACTATTATGATTTTATTAGAAAATTGTTTTTGTTAATAAATTTCAAAATTATTCATGTATATGAGCGATATATAAATAAAACAGTGAAAACTTGTCTGTATATTTAAAAATGTAAAAATATTCAAAAAAAATTGTACCCGAGAAAGGAAAAACAAACAAGTGTACTGCAAAACACAGGTTAGTGAAAGAAAATAAAATTTATTCTACACCAAATTTATTTATTTCAAAAACCAACGACTAATTCATTGCAGTGTAAATTCTTAGAGAGTTTATTAAAAGAATGGAATATCGTTATTTAATTTATAAAACCCTTATTGTTAAAATTGAAGATTCAAATAAACGTCGTTTCGATTTAAAAGCAGAAGAGGCGTTCGAGTTTCTGAAACGCCATCTTCGACCGAGTGAACGTGCACGCTCTGCAGTCGCACGTCTACAAGTCTTTTGCACATCTATGCTTTGCGACGATAGGAGTTGGGAGAGGAGTTGTTGTCTATGGAGTTGTCATTGCTAGAGTTCATTTTCATCGTGGCGATTGCTGGAAGAAGACAACGAGACGTCGTCGAACACGGACGAGCGGGCCTGACCCTTCGCTGCCTGTAGAGAACATGCGTCACCTGGTACGTTGTACTTGTGCTAATTATATTTCTCTTTGCGGATTCACTCGGATTTCATTTCGTGTTTTCGAGTTTTAAGATGTTTTAGATTTAATTGAAACCTTTCCTCATTTCTGTTTTTTTTTTGGAAAACGTGTGCTCGATTTATGTAGTTTTTGCTCAAGTCGTACTACTGTCTAAGACGTACGCCGGATATATTTTATCTGCTTATTTTATTTTGCATCATTTGGTGCCCACTGTTAAATAAAACTACATATTATTAGTTTGTTGACTGAGCAAGAGTTCACAATTGAATGGCTGGCGGTCATTGTGCAGAAGAAATAATCGAAAGTAATAGTAAAAAGTTGTGAAAGTAAAAAATAATGACTGTTAAGTCATTTTGAGAATTACTATGAGTACATTTATACGTATCGTTTAATTTGAAGTCTTATTTACATCATTATCATCTGCTAATTCATTTCAATTTATAGATCAGAAGTATTGTGTGAATTGGATCACAATCATCATGACATCAAAAATTTTAAAGCAAAATTACTTTTCCATGAAAGCCATTCTTTGTTTTAAATGCATAATTTATTTTACTTGAAAAAAAGTTACAATTTGAACAACAAATTGACAAAGAATAGTTACAATTTGAATGAATATAAAGATGCAAACAAAGACAACAATGACATTTAATAATGTATGTATAAACAACTAAATTCAATAATAATTTGTGTATTTTGCAGGTGCGGGTAAGTTTGCGTTTGCTACTACCAGAGTCCTTCATTTTTTCTACGAACATTGTTACTGTGACGCCATAAATGTGGTATTTATTGGAATTGCATTTGGCACGAATAGATTTATTAAGCGGTGATTTTGTTCAAGATATTAATTGATCAATACTTTAGTTGTCACTATAACTTTTAGAAATTTACAAAATCATTAAGGCATTGAATTTCATGATTCGAATGATCACGATATGTCTTGCATGTGGGTTAATTTATTAGTTAGGTAGCATCAGTAGTTTTAATATTAATAATAACAAATACTAATACACTAATCTATTCAACTATTGAAAAATAATGTGGTCGTTTGAATCATTTGAGATTATGCAATGTAGATTTGACATATTACATTAGATTTTAATTTTCACTGTTTTCAATTCATGTTAATGCATTCCATATAACACCAAGCGCAATTCTTAAACTGCTAGTAAATTTCTACATTCTATTTCTGGTCATCAAGATAAAATCATATGGAGGCCACAAGATATTATATCAAGCAAATGTTGAGTATCGAATGGCCAAATATCGAGTGAAAATTGAACACTGACTCACTTCACCGGGAATCGCTCTGAAAATAATTTAAAAAGTACGTTTATATCCATCATCAGTATAAATGTGAACAATAAATAACATGTTTATATTTTTTTTCAGGTTCTTTCAACTACTGCTGCTCTGCACACTGACGCCTTCACCAGGAATCGCTCTGAAAATAATTTAAAAAGTACGTTTTTATCCATAATCAGTATAAATGTGAATAATAAATAACATGTTTATTTTTTTTTCAGGTTCTTTCAACTACTGCTGCTCTGCACACTGACCCCTTCACCAGGAATCGCTTTGAAAATAATCTAAAAAGTTTTTTTTATCCATAATCAATATAATATGAATAATAATAACATGTTTTTTTTTTCAGGTTCTTTCAACTACTGCTGCTCTGCACACTGACCCTTTCACCAGGAATCGCTCTGAAAATAATTTAAAAAGTACTTTTTATCCATAATCAGTATAAATGTGAACAATAAATAACATGTTTATTTTTTTTCAGGTTCTTTCAACTACTGCTGCTCTGCACACTGACCCCTTCACCAGGAATCGCTCTGAAAATAATTTAAAAAGTACGTTTTTATCCATAATCAGTATGAATGTGAATAATAAATAACATGTTTATTTTTTTTTAGGTTCTTTCAACTACTGCTGCTCTGCACACTGACCCCTTCACCAGGAATCGCTTTGAAAATAATTTAAAAAGTACGTTTTTATCCATAATCAGTATAAATGTGAATAATAAATAACATGTTTTTTTTTCAGGTTCTTTCAACTACTGCTGCTCTGCACACTGACCCCTTCACCAGGAATCGCTCTGAAAATAATTTAAAAAGTACGTTTTTATCCATAATCAGTATAAATGTGAATAATAAATAACATGTTTATTTTTTTTTTTTAGGTTCTTTCAACTACTGCTGCTCTGCACACTGACCCCCTTCACCAGGAATCGCTTTGAAATAATTCAAAAAGTACGTTTATCATCCATAATCAGTATAAATGTGAACAATAAATAACATGTTTTTTTTTTTCAGGTTCTTTCAACTACTGCTGCTCTGCACACTGACCCCTTCACCAGGAATCGCTCTGAAAATAATTTAAAAAGTACTTTTTTATCCATAATCAGTATAAATGTGAACAATAAATAACATGTTTATTTTTTTTTTCAGGTTCTTTCAACTACTGCTGCTCTGCACACTGACCCCTTCACCAGGAATCGCTCTGAATATAATTTAAAAAGTACGTTTTTATCCATAATCAGTATAATTGTGAACAATAAATAACATGTTCATTTTTTTTCAGGTCCTTGCAACTAGTGGTGCTCTGCACTCACACTACTTCACCAGGAATATTCCAGAAACATTTTACCAGGTATGTGTTTATCCATACCAGTATAAATGCAAACATTTCTAAAATGTTTCTTTCTTTTTTGCAGATCTTCTCAATCCAACTATTACTGCCCTGAAGCTATAACATGTGAATGACTCGCAAGTGGTTTTTTTAATAACTGCCTATAATTATGCATGATTAACTTAACTCTTATTAACTCAATAACATGACTAACCTCACTAACTTGATCAGTTATTATAAATACCACTTGTTGAGTTTTACTATGAAGGTTTTACTGAGATTGATTGGAAGACGGGGCTGAATGATTAATCAGGTAATTTATTATTATAGTATATTTCATGAGACTTGTTACTAATTTATTGTTCTTTTTTATAGGGTAAACGACAACTACAAGCCAAGTGGTGAACTCTCAAGTGGCTCATGAGTGAAAACAATAATTTCATCTACTAATTATGCTGTCCGTCCGTCCGTCCGTCCGTCCGTCTTGTCACCAGAGAAGATGCCTACTGTGATTTATTGAATAGTTAAGTGCTTAGATGTTAATGAAATAATGAATAAATATATTGTATTTGATTTAATTTGTTGTTTTAATTTAATTATGAGCCACTTTACGGCCAAATTACATTATGCTGTAACGTAAATTACAAAAATATTTAGACATGTCTAAATTTTAAAAAATGTGTTATTAATAGGGATACTTATTGAGTGCACTTTTTAGTGTAAACAATTGTGTAGAACAGCTTCTTTCTGTTTGCAACCATCTTGCTTTGACTCGATAGAAACGCGCTGATAATAAACTTTGCTTTTTTGCAAACCCTTAAGTTAGTCGAGTGCCTTAAACATTTAATACGCCAGACGACCGATGTTTTCTCTTGTTTAAATATTTTAATTTCCATTATTTCTGTAAATGGTGCACTCTTTTTCTTAGCTATAAATATCACTTAATTTAATATCATACTGTATTATTAATATATATACATACTAGAGATGGGTAACTCACTCCGGAGTTATCACTCAGATACAACTAATACCTCGGAGTGAATCCGAGTGGAGTTGTCTCGCCGGATTTGTCATATCCGACTTCCCTAAGCTGGTTGTTTTTTCAATGATTGTTGTGATTGAATTTTGAAGGACCAATTGTAAAATACTATAATTTGTAACTAGTAATATTTATTTTATGTTAATAACAAGTTATAAGTGTATTTACAATAATTTTAATATGTTTTTTGATAACGTATTGATTGATTTTATTTATTATGTGATTTTCGACTGATGATTTTTTGTTTTATATCAATCTAACCGCATGCTTTAATTGGCGCGAACACTGGTACTAAGGAAGCTGTCGCTTTCTCGTCTTCTAAACAGGCAGTTTTATGACCTTTTAGGTATACGTTTTTTTCCAGAAAATACAAAAATATTACTTCAAAGATACAGAACAATGAAATTGTGTTCAATTGTGAATAACTCCAATGTATAATTTATTGAATAGTAAGGGGTCATATTTCTAACTACGACAATCTTTGACCGTGAATTTGGACACATTTAGTCTGTTTTTTCCATAGCCTGAAATAACAATACTTTTTAGAGTGTAAAATATATCAGTGACGTCAATGTATTTAAGCAGCAATATTTATATTATATTATTACTTTTACACAATTATATAATTGTATAAAAGTAATAATATGCTAATCGAACTACCTGATATAATATTAATTCTCGAATGAAAATAGCAGAAGAAAAAATTATAAAGCAGAAGTAATATTATTTGATGAAAATATTTTATGATAATGTTTTGCTTTTATTACAAAGTTTACTTAATTATTTTTATATAAAATTATTCCAAAAAATCAATTATTTTCTCATCAAAAGAAAGTTTTGCGTTTTTACTTTGGTCAATACTGTTAAAATTACAAGTCGTTGAGTCGATCATGTGGTCGACCGAAAAACTCGTCATTTATTTGTGAATTTTTTAGAAAAATTATTTTATTATTATTCTTTTAATTTTATTTTATTCATAAATTTTCATTTAAAAATTAAATGGGATTTGGCAAATCCTTAGATGCATAAACAACGCACTTCGACGCATTTGTGTCGAGTATTTCGGTTTCAAATTTGTCGGAGTCGTGGAGTTGTTAGCGGATATACTCCTTCCTGAAGCGGAGTTAAATCCGAGTCGATCCGGCTTCGGATATGATAAGCCCATCTCTAATACATACTATAATATATTATAGTTAATGTATTTTAGTCATCTTCATTACGGCAATTGTAAGAATAAATTAATATAATTGTATTATTAAATACTGTGATACATTGAGAGTTTTGAATAAAACTAACTGAACTTTATTTGGAGTGTTTCATTTCACACCATTTTCAGTGATATATATTAGAAACATAAGATACAGTATTATAAACTGATAAGCTAATGTTATTATGAACATTAATATGCTCAATAATTCGTTCTTCGAAGAGGATTTAATATTTTGAATAAATTTTATATAATATAATTTTTGTAATCTAATTCTATCATGATCAATAAAGTTAATGTAGTTATAACTTTGGCCATTTTAAATAGACTAATCTATGGTTTTTCACTCATTTCAACCATGTCAAAATATTAACTTAAATTTTTCAATCACTTTAATCTGTATTATTATTTAAGTCTTAATCAGATCATTTGAATTAATATACCTTGTATATTGGTCAGTTTTACTTAACTATAACTTATAGAAAAATTAAGTTTTCAGTATTGTGTTATTTTCTTCTTTTCGAATATCTTTATCAATACTAATATATCTTTATTTTGATTCGCGTAATTATTACATTAATTACATTAATATTCCTATCATATTGACGCTACCTTCTCCTACCTTACTTTACACTACCCTACCTTAACCTAATACTTACCCACGTTAAGAACTAATACTCTTACCTTGCTTACCTCTACCACGTCTCGAACCTGCTACCACGTCCTCTCCAGTGACTCCCAGCTCCTAACGCGCGACGCCACGACGATCACATTAGTAAACCGTTGCAAAGTAGATGATATTGTATATTTTAAACAAAAAAAAACTAACATGTCATATGGCCAAAAAAAAGTTGATTTCGTGTGGCCTGTGTTGGCGTAATGGATAGATTGATGGCGTCGTACCTTAAAGGTACCGAGTTCGAATCATACCTCAGGACAAAAAAAGAGTATTGTTCACGTTGTGGTATTTATTTAGTGTTGAATAACACAAAATTAATGTTTAGATATAACAAACTAACAAGTCATGAGGCCGAAAGAAAGCAGAATCGATGTGGCCTGTGCTGGCGTAATTGGTAGAACGATGGGTTCGTACCCAAAGAGTGCCGAGTTCGAACCATACCTCGGGACAAAAAATGGAAAGCGTGGTATTTATTATTTATTGTAAGGTAGCACAAAGATAAAATTTGGATTTAGTAAACTAACAGGTCATGAGGCCAAAAAAAAGCAGAATCGATGTGGCCTGTGTTGGCGTATTGCTAGCGTGCTAGCTTCATGCCAACAGGGTACCGAGTTCGATTCATACCTCCGGACACAAAACGCAAAATAGCGTGACTGTTGACGCTGTGGAACGAGGTATGCACGGA